ATATGAAGTAGATGATATCGACGATTTGATTCAACTAATAGGCAGTGTAGATGAATTTACAGCTGCTGCAATTAATGCCACAAAAAGATCAACAGAAAATGTGTATATACGAGAAACAGTTAAAGCTGTTGAAAAAGTTGGACGTTTCAATCATAAGAATCGTAAGTGTTAATTGCTTTATGACTCGTACCATTAAAAAAAATTCTTCTAGAACCAGATCAACATGTTTCAAATACAGGTATTGATCGACAAATTGTACCGTTCATTCCTGCAACGTCTAATCTAATTAAACTTAATTCAAAATGGCAAGATCAGCTGAAGATTGAAAAAGAACGAATTAGACGCAGTTTGATTTCCGGTAAAGATAACAATGATGATGATATATTGAATTTCGATGATGTGACCAACGCCGTTATAACCGTAATCAATCCATATAACAATCAAACTAATTTTCAAAAAAATACATCAATTCCTCCAGTACTTGTAGTTAAAAACAATTACTCAACTCAAAGTAGAATCATTGATGAATTTACATTGAACAAAGAACAAAAAGCTGCGTTCTTGATAATAACAAGTCATCTCGATGGTGATAGTCGATGTCGAACAGGTATTTTTATGAAATAGATCATTACCTCTTCAATTGAATAATCTGTTTTAGGTGACAATAATGGTCAACTCATTATGTGTGTGCCTGGTTGTGGTGGAACGGGGAAGTCACAATTGATTCGTGCTCTTACAAAATATTTTCTTGCTGCAAAAAGAATGCAAATGATGCGAAAACTAGCGCCTACTGGAATCGCAGCTGCTGAAATTGATGGTATGACAATTCATTCATTTTTAGGTGAACAACGTAATCCACGAAAGCCACGTACCATCAAACCAGGCGATTCCAAACTTGAAAACGAATGGAGACCGGTCGAATACCTTTTAATTGATGAAATGAGTATGGTGGGCTTAACTCTATTAGGAAAACTGAACAGAATTATTTGTTCTGCCAAACATGTCGATCCTCAAGTTCCATTTGGTGGTGTGAACGTCATCTTCTTTGGTGATTATTTACAATATCGACCAGTCTATGATTCACCATTGCATACTGATTTCTCATCATCGTCATCAAAAAAGAAACAAGGAAAAATCCCATCTGAAAAAGAAATACAACAACGTGTATCACGTTCTTTAATTCTTCAAATGAATTGTGTGGTCAAACTTACACAACAGATGCGAACAGAAGATTTACGATATCTTCAATTACTCGATCGGCTTCGTCATGGACAATGCAATTATGATGATTACGAACTATTGCAGACACGAGTTGTTGGACAACCAACAATACAATCTCTACATGATTCGCCATGGAACAAAGTAAATCGACTTTTTTATATAAAGAAAGAACTATTTCAATGTTTTTTAGGCTCATTTTCTCGTGTTTCGAAATGAAGTTCGCACTCAAATAAATAACAAGGCTGCCATTCATAATGCAACACAAATGGGCCATTCACTGATGGAATGTGTTGCTCAAGATACATGTAAAGGTAAAGCAATCGAAGATCCAATATTGCGTAAAAAACTATTAGAATTATCTGATAGCAAGACAGAGCATTTACCTGGTCTATTACCTTTTGTACCAGGTATGTATGCCTGTCATTTTAACGCAAAATATTGCTACTGAATTAGGCCTTATCAATGGTATTAATGGAATATTTCGACAATTAGTATATCATGAAGATTCGGTAACAACAGAAAATGTATCAGAAATGTTTCCGAATAATACACAATATATTCGTCGACCGACATATGCTTTAATTGAGATTGTTAAATCGAAGATTGAATGCAAACTTGAAGATCTTGAACCAAAACTTATACCAATTCCACTTATAGAACAAACATTTCAGGTTGACGTGGCTGATCTTATTCCAAAAGATAAGAAACCAAAATCAAATCAAAAGACAATTCTATCAATTAAACGATCTGCATTACCACTTGTACCTGCTTATTGTATTACAACACATAAAAGTCAAGGTCAAACATTGAGCAAAGTGGTTATTGATTTAAAATTACCAAATGAAACTGATGATATTGCAGCAGTTTACGTACCACTATCTCGTGTAAAACGTTTGGCCGATTTAGCTATTCTACGACCATTTGATTATAAAGTTTTGCTGATGAAACCATCGAAATCTCAAGTTACCGAAATGGAAAGATCGGATCAGCTGTTTTTGAATACACGATCACGTTTTTCGGAATGGTTTCAATGAATCATATATATAAGAATACACTATCTTTTATTTCTATGTAATTTTATTATAAGATCATTTATCTTTCATTAAGAGACGGTCCACGGCTCAATCGAGCATTTTTATATAGTGCCGTCATACAAAATTTTTTGACCCCCCTTTTTGAGTATCGCAAATGAAAGAGCATATAAAAAAACATATAAATCCAAAGTTTTAGCCTTTCGAAAGCTACTTTTGTATGGATTCAAAAGTCATCTTCTTCGAAGAGTCAGTTTGATTTAAAAAATTTCTAAATTTTTTCTCGTGTTTAGTATTTGATTAATTTCTCCGCCAAAAATTATTCGATTAAATCAANATTCATAAATAAAAACGTAATTCTTTTAGTATTGATCAAAAAAATGACTAAATAAACTTGTGTGAAAGTTAGAATGCATGATTAATGTGAATATGAATTTGAAAAGGTCAATTCTTAATGACTAGAATAGGTAGTGGAAACGATGCATTGAATGCTGATGATGGTAAATCAATTAAACTGCTTAAATTCATTGAACAAGGATTTGTTTGATCAAATGTATAATATTCTGTAATTTGTGTTTGCTTATTTACGACACAATTATTTTTTGCTTAGATATTTCGACTATTACAAATACTTATAAGTGGTGTTGACATGTTTGTAGCAATATAATTGCCTGTAAGATGCAAACTATTCATATTATCACTTTGTAAAAGTCCTTGACTTGATAACCCAAGGTAGAATGATGATGATTCGATTCGAATGTCATTAATAATAGGAATCAGATCAACTGGATCAGGTAAAATAGTTATAACACCTTTTCCTTGTGCAATACCTTCATTATTTTCCATATAAATATTACCAATCAATGAAACATTTCGAGCTTCGGGACCTTCATGCCAATACATTGATGGTTGAATAAGAACAGCAGGTCCACTGGTACGATAGAATAATGATTGTCTTATATCAATATTACGTGTTTCCAAAAGAACACCACGAGCACGATTATTTACTACGGTAAAATTTCGTATTGTAAGTAAAGGTGTGTCAGTACCACATGCCCAATCATTAACATTAACATTAACTGGATTTGTAAAAGAAATTTTTCTCGAATCACTTGAATTCGTCGATGAAATCGATGCAACTAATCCATTTCCATGCACAACAAATGGTTCTTGATTACTACTAAATTCTAAATTTGTTCCCACATCAAAATTTATAAATACATCAGAATTTTTTACTTGTAAATGTCTTGCTCTAACAATGAAAAAACCCATACCCCATGATGTATAAATTGTGATTGATTCGACAGAAAGATCAGTTGAATCTTCGACGTAAATTGTATGACCACGGAAGCCATATCGAACAACAACTGGATCTCCTTTACGAAATTGTGTTCTTGAACTCAATGGTAAACGTATGATTCCTGATTCAACAAGAGTAGTATTTCTATCTGTTGGTGGTGTTTGATATATTTCATATGTATCAGATCCAAAAGCAGGTCTTTTCTGTGTAGGATCATATCGGAGAATAGCTTGAACTTGTCGACCAACATCAGTTTGATGAGGAGGAACAACTTGTACATCTAAGAATGTATCATCAACATTCACTATATATCCAGCAGTAAAATGAAGTGGATTATAATCAATGGAAGATGAAGTCAGCTTTAATCCTTGAGATTTTTGTGCAACAAAAATAGTGATCTCATTGTAACCAATCAGATATGTTTGATCTATTCCTTCTCCCATTATTGTTCAATTAACTGCATTTTCTATGGTGATTGTTGATGATATTGCATAGATACCAAATCCAAAAACAATATCACTTCTATAACCATTTCTGACTGCTTCATTGATAGTTGTTTGAATTCTATATGCATCATCAAGATCATCATTTGGATAAGCACCATAATCAGATACAAACACTTTCTTTCCTTCGATCGATGATTGTTTGATCAATAAAAGTCTTAAAATGAACCAACTATGGCTAAATCTCATTCTATTACAATTGAAATGAATGTAAAAGTGATATAGATTTTTCTGTACATCACAAGACTAGTAACGCTCGTCGAGGCAGACTCGCTTAACCCTCGACTGAATGACTAACAGTAAAATATTTCTTTTGCTGAAATTATTCATAATAGTTTGAATTCTATTATTATTATTATGTACTCGTCATAGTTCTTATTTACATTGTCATCTGAGAAGTCATATCGTAGGTATTTAAAAAAAGCATTCTAATTCAAATAAAAGTTGAGAAGGTTCGTTTCAAAATTTCGCTAATCAACTTCATAACAGAAATTTATTTGATATTCAATTAAAACAAGGAAAAATGAACAGAGAAAAACAATATCTAGGTAAATATCCCCTACATAATCTGAAAGTGACACCATCTTATTTTAAAGAATATTAAAATGTAGAAATTACATCAATTAAGAGACGGTCCATGGCTCAATCGAGAATTGTCGTCATACAAAATTTTTTGACCCCCCTTTTTGAGTATCGCAAATGAAAGAGCATATAAAAAAACATATAAATCCAAAGTTTTAGCCTTTCGAAAGCTACTTTTGTATGGATTCAAAAGTCATCTTCTTCGAAGAGTCAGTTTGATTTAAAAAATTTCTAAATTTTTTCTCGTGTTTAGTATTTGATTAATTTCTCCGCCAAAAATTATTCGATTAAATCAAGCAATATAGCAAACGATAGAGCAAATCGAGCTCTACAAAACTGTATATTTAGAATATCTTCAAATAGATTATAAATGTATCTATAACAGAAAATCTATCAAAAAACCACCTAATTTGCTTTTTAAATTTGGGGTGATTTTTAGTATTTTTATGATAATTCCGCGAGAGAGAAGTTCAGGCCGACAATGATTCCTTATGGATTCGATAGAGCAGAAGAAACTGCACAAGATGAACTCAAAATAAAGTGCAAAAAATATGCGCATAGTGTCCTAATTAAGCTGATAAAGTATTGAAGTATGATCGTTTATACAGCCATTTTTTACAATATTGCTGAAATTTTCTGTTTTTCTGAACAGCAATCTGATTGCAAGTTTCTCGCATTATCCAGATGATTCAACATTGAGTATCTGACTATCATCTGGACCTTAGTTGAGCGATCCATCCAAGGAATACTCGTCACTTATAACTGTAAAACCTTTCAGATCCAATAATATGTATAATGTCCTATACTAGCAATTCAAAATCACGATTACGGTAGTATATTGATGACATCACGTGACTGACCTACCATTATTCACAGTAGCGATTGACGAGAAAGGGTGATACAGTTTCTAATTTCAGGAAGAAAAAGTTTATTGGTTGGTTTTACGTGGTAATCGTGATGATTTTCGTGGATGTGATATATTTTCTTTGTCAAGTGACGGGAGTGCTCTTTTGGTGATATTTGAAGCTGACGAGGTATCTGCTGAGTTGAGTATTTTTGCAGACAATTGAATCTGTCGAAGTTGTAGATCTAAGTCAACAGATAATTGTTCTTGAAATGCTTGTTCATCGGTATCTTCTTCGTTATCGCTTTCGTCAGGGATTGTCATAGTGGTGTTTTGTGTAGTAGTTGACTGTCGGCTCGTTTGCTTACGTCTGCTTGTACTCTGTCGAGAAAAGAACGATCGAACAGTTCCAACTTTAACGAGCTCTGAAAGCTCGAAAACATAACTGCCCGTTAGTGGATCTTTTTTGTGCTTCATTTCATTGACAACTGCCTCTGGTTGCCACCGTATTCCTCGCTGTTCACCATCATCAAACTTTTCTTCCAAGAATTGCCGTACTTTTGGAGTCAGGCGTTGTACTTTCCGAGGCGATGGCAAAGCCCAACCTTGATTTAGTTTAGGTAAATGATCGTTAGAGTTCGTATGGAAATTAATTTTCTCTAGTTCAAGGGAAATGAGTTGTTGATTGTCAACTTCGTCTAGTTTGGACTTGTACGTAATCATAGCGAAGTCTTTCATCGGCAGCTTTTCTAATTTACGAAAATGGTTACCACTAGCCAAATGTCGAAGCAGATTGCCATAGTTAAAGAAGCGACGAATGCATCCGTCTTGATCGCAATAGAACAATTTCGACTTGGATTGTGTTCCAGTATTGAAATGTGTGTCTTCGTTAGTTGACGAGATAAGATCTTTTTGGGGCTTATTTGCACTCGAATTTACTAATTGGGTCTGATTCGTATGAGTATTGACACAGACTAGCATGTTGATAATTGAAGAGCCATTTCGATTTTGATCAGGTGCTAATACTTTACCAACACCTACATTCCAAGCTCGGTACACACGAATCGAAGTACTTGGTTCAAAAATAAAATTATGCAATTTGGTAATATCGTTTATCTTCCTTTTATCTTTTGAATGAGCAGGGGCTAATTGGCATTCGAATACTTGAACGTTTTTGATACCGCCATATGAAGCGCATGCTGCCACAAATTCAGCAGCAGTCGCGACATCATGCCCTCCGTTCCAAAAGCGCCGAACGTGTGACTTCAATACAGCAGAATATCTATCGGAGGAGCCTACGCAACGAGTGAAAATATCACAGAATATTCAAGGAAAAACATACCTTTTCCTCCTTGAGGATCCGAAAAATCGAATCGAATGATTGTAATATTTGTATTGAGAGAAAGTTGACGCAAGCCTATGATTGTTTGCGCCGAATGATAACATCCGGCGTTGTCTGATCGGATGTATGCATTTTTTATATTTGGATTGTGCGCTTTTACCCTTGTGAGAACATCCTGAAGTATCGCAAGCACAGCGTCACTATCTTGAGTCACCTGATCGAATACGTGGACAAATATTTTATGCTCAAGAGCAATTTTTCGGAATGCTTCATTATTTGATTTCTCAGCTTCTTCGTCGTCATCATCAGCATCGACTGATGAATCATCGCTTTCGTCAACATCGCTTGACGACCCATCATCTTCATCAGCTCCAGCTTGCTTCATTGACACAACAGTTATGTGCCAGCTAATGCCTTTTTTACCAAAAAAGGCTGCCTGACCTTCCCTGTAGTAAACTGGATTCCACCTGTAAAAAAACAAATACATAGACTGTTACTCATTGACAGTTTTCTTCTGGATATAACTAAAGCTCAATGAATATCAGTTGCTTCCTTCTCTTGTTTATTCTGTCAAGAAAAAATGTTTAGTTTTCGTTTCCTTGGATAAAAAACTTACTTCATTGCCCAGTCCAAATTTAAAAATATACTATTTTCAGACATGCTTTGCATAATGTTTATTCGACATTGGCCTTGATTAACGCATCGTAATAAATGTGACTTCCATGCTAATATAGCTTCTAAAGACTCATCATAATCGTACATTGTTCGACCTACAGTTTCTGGTGAATTATTCGTCTTTATTGCTTGTTTTATGTCGAAAAGAACATTTGCCAGATTAGTACATTCTATACAAATGTCGTCATGATGGTGATTGCACGATGACGAAAAAAATGTCGAGTTTCGTTCGCTAAGCGAAAATGGAATGCAATGATCAGCGACACTTGAAGATTGGCGAACATGCAGTTTAAAGTCAGATTTCAAGTATTGCTTCGCTCGTTGTACCGCTTTAGCTAGCCGTATCTTTTCATCTGAATCAATCGAGAGATTTTGAATAATAATCTTCAGATCTTCGAAAGCGGCAATACCATCTGCTACGAAGTTGTTCAAACCTTGAAGTGATTTCCGCGTTGAAGCTTTGCAACAGTTTAATATTTTGTACAGCGAAGAAGAAGCCAGTGGTTCAAAATTGGCACACATCTGATGGCAATATTCATAGTATTGTTGTATAATTCGTGTGGAATTGATAGATCGTATTGTATCCGGTACATTGAATTCTTTGCCGCTAGAAAGCCGTAAAGTTTTCTCCCCAAATGGTACATCACTCGAGATATGCGGACTAAGAACGAAGTCAATAAAGTGCTCTACTTGAGCTGATGAGTAACAAACATTGATACGAGGTGTTGATTTTGTTATCACACCTTTTCCCGACTCTACTGCAAATAAACGAGCTTCTGTAAGACGGTGTCTTGTCAAGCCCGGAATAACGGAAGATATCAGATTGTAATCCACGTGTTTGGCCACAATAGATAAAATTGTTCGACGATTCGAAGGGCTGTCGGCGTTATTATATGCTTCAGCAATGGCTGACAAAATATTCATTAGTTTCGGATCCATTACAACCCTGCTTCTCTCTGTAACACAAAAAAAGAACACAAAACTATTGTTACAATCTAGATTATGGGTAAAATTAGCCTACTGTTTGTCTCCGTAAAAAGCTTTGTACGAACTTCATTCGCATTCGAACCGGCAAGAAACTCCAAAACAATATCGATCACGGCCTTTGTTGAGCAAAGAAAATTCTTTTGAGCACCCTTAGTAAGTTCATTATAGGAATGGGTGACTAAAAGAGACCGACCAGAACGATCAGGATGCATTAGTTGAATAAAGTTTTGTAATGCAGCTCGTTTGCTCTTGTCATTTTGACCACTAAAAACGGATGACGTCGGTGTGATAGAAACAGGAGAATAATGAAAGTCTTTGTCATTAGTGCTTTCTTCCGATTCCTCATCACTCCAAACAATAGTGTCAAGCCAATGGAAAGCCGACATATGATTGCTAATCTTGATCTAAAAACATTAAGTCCGTGGATCTATACACGAAAAAGTAAAGGTGTCTTACTGGATCCGTACGTTTCATGACTGCCTCTCGACAACGACGACAAATTAACTTTCCATATGAATATTGAAAATGCAGTTCTTCATAAAGAGTAAGTGCAATAAATGCTCCGATATTTTGAGCAGCTTCACTAGGCTTTGATTTTCCAAAACAAGGCACACACGTGTGACAAGTTCGGTATTTCGATCGTCGAAATTCCTTCAACAATTCTTCCTTGTGTCGTGTGCACACATGCGTCTTTTGTAAACGAAGAACTGGTTGATAAAATCGATCTCCTCGTAACAACATGATCTCAATACACGATCGCGCACCAGGAAAAACTGAGCTCGAGAAATGTTCATGCCGTAGCTCACGAAAGCTTATAAACTGATCGGTACAAGATTCGTCCTTGAAGAAACATTCGGGTGTTGACGCCATCACAATGACCATAAATGGTTTACAAAGAAATAAGTGCACAACAAACGATGATAATCAAATATAACCGATTATCCATAGTGTAAGAGAAGAATCAAAGAATTTTCTCTCAGTAGTATAGCACGTGCTTTTTTCAAAAGAGAAAAAGAACGCATTCTCACATACATCGTAAAATGTACATGCGCAATAAACTCATATACAAATAACTATGCCCAGATAACGTAGTATAATCGTGATTTTGAATTGCTAGTATAGGACATTATACATATTATTGGATCTGAAAGGTTTTACAGTTATAAGTGACGAGTATTCCTTGGATGGATCGCTCAACTAAGGTCCAGATGATAGTCAGATACTCAATGTTGAATCATCTGGATAATGCGAGAAACTTGCAATCAGATTGCTGTTCAGAAAAACAGAAAATTTCAGCAATATTGTANAGAATACTTTTAGAGAATTGGTTTTTGCCATCAACAGATAACACAATCATTCACCTAGCAATAGTTTATTCATTAATTGAAGTACAAATTCAGTCAATCCAATTAAGAAAAATACAAATTCTTGCATAATAATTAGTTGGCAACGAATTGTCCTAGTGCCCTAGAGTGCATAGCAGACAGAGATTGTTCTTTCTCAGGAACCGAACCGATCAGCCATTTGTCAGCGAGTAATTCTCGAGAACTAACTGTGTTGACTGAAAACCCCATCCCTCAATGGCTAGTCGCTCGTCAACCTCCCTCCGGTCGGCCACTCACGATCAGCCATTCACCTTTTCATCTGTTGTTCTGTTTTCACATTAGCCTGTCTCTTTTAGCAAAAAATTGGCTCTTTTCTCTGATTTCAACAAAATGATACCTTGTCGAATATTTTCATTGAGGAATATACATTTGCCAAATCCTTTTCAAAAATCGTTGAAGCCTGACAAGGGTATTCCAAGTGTATACTTTAAGATTAATCTGGAATTTAAACGCCAAGTCGTTCGTCGGCCTCCCGCCGGTCGACCACTCACCGCTAGCCGTTACATGTACATTTTCACTCTTCCATTTAGTCTAGAGCCACTTTTGAAACGAATCCGTTCATTTTTCTCTATTCCTTCTTTAAAAGTCACCCTCTTTGTGCTACTGTGACTCTCGAAGACAACATTTGACCAGAGAAACATTATTTTGAATGACTGGCATCAGATGATATTCGTATAGTATAGCTGTTTATATAAGTGTGTGATCCAAGGGGGAAAAGCGAGACTTCAGACTTCAACTACTTCACCCGTACTTCACTTTACTTCAGTCGTACTTCATTGGTACTTCACTATACTTCAAATAATATCTGAAGTAGATGAAGTCTCGCTTTTTCCCCCTTGGTGTGATCTCATCAATATGCTGATGGCTATGGAGATCCAGCGATCGGACGTCAGTCAGCTGTTACATTTTGTCCTACATATTGCCGCTTAAAACATTATCGTCTAAAAATTGAGCCTTTGTCGCAAAAAACGGGTCAGAAAGCGTTCATGGAAAAAGTAACACCGGATTCGAGATCCTCGACCTCGACTACCCTTCAGTCGACCCTTACTCGACAACCAAAAAAGTTTTTTCCCTTAATTAGTAATTAGCTAATTGAAATTTCGAGAAACTGACACCGGATTCGAAATCCTCGACCTCGATTACCTCATCAGTGGTCAATCTTTGATGACTATAGATAAATTTCATTGATTCATAAAATGCTGCAATCTGATTGGATTATGCAAACAAACAATCAAACTTTATGCATTTTCATCAATGTATTTATGACGCTATAACCGTTTCTTTCAGAAAAGGGAACAATTATGGGAGAAGGAATAGATCAAACATATCTGATTGGTTACAATGAGATCACTATTTTTGTTGCACAAAAATGTCAAGGATTAAAGCTGACTTAATTTTCCATTGATTATAATCCACTTCCTTTTACTACTGGATATGTAGTGAATGTTGATGATACATCCTTAGATGTGCAAGTTGTTCCTCCTCATCAAACTGATGTTGGTCGACAAGTTCAAGCTATTCTCCGATATGATCCTACACAGAAAAGACCTGCTTTTGGATCTGATACATATGAAATATATCAAACACCACCAACAGATAGAAATACTACTCTTGTTGAATCAGGAGTCATACGTTTACCATTGAGTTCAAGAACACAATTTGGTAAAGGAGATCCATTTGTTGTTCAATATGGCTTCCGTGGTCATACAATTTACGTCGAAGATTCAACTGATCTTGCTGTCGAATCAATCACAATTTATACATCATGGGGTATGGATTTTTTCACTGTTAGAGCAGGACATTTACAAGTAAAAAATTATCATGTTCTACCCCGTGATAATCGTTGGGTGAGTACCATTGTTGATTGTATGCATTTTATTGATACAAGAGAATATGTTTCCCTTATTGATAGTGAATGTTATGCAATGGGTGATGATGGTTTGAATGTTCATGCTGTTTTCTTTCTTGTTACAGAAGTTATTGATACTCAAACGATTATTATTCAAGCAAAAAATTCTTATGTATTTATAAATTTTGATGTTGGAATAAATTTAGAATTTAGTAGTAATCAAGAACCATTTGTTGTGCATGGAAATGGATTAGTTGCATCGATTTCATCGACGAATTCAAGTGATTCGATAAAAATTTCTTTTACAAATCCAGTTAATGTTAATAATTGGGCATGTGGTACTGACACACCTTTACTTACAACACGAAATTTTACCGTAGTAAATAATCGTGCTCGTGGTGTTCTTTTGGAAACACGTAATATTGATATAAGACAATCATTATTCTATCGTACCAGTGGGCATGCTGTTCTTATTCAACCATCAATGTATTGGAATGAAGGTCCCGAAGCTCAAAATGTTTCATTGATTGGTAATATTTATATGGAAAATAATGAAGGTATTGCACAAGGAAAAGCTGTTATAGCTATTTTACCTGATCCAGTTGATCTGGTTCCTGTTATTAATGACATTCGAATCGAATCATCATCATTCTATCTGGGATTATCAAGTCAAGGACTTTTACAAAGTGATAATATGAATAGTTTGTATCTTACAGGCAATTATATTGATACAAACATGTCAACACCACTTATAAGTATTTGTAATTATCGAAATATCTCAGCAACAAATAATTGTGTCGTAAATAAGCAAACACAAATTACAGAATATTATACATTTGATCAAACAAATCCTTGTTCAATGAATTTGAGTAGCTTAATTGATTTACCACTATCAGCATTCAATGCATCGTTTCCACCACCTGTTCTGATCAATAAGAATTGACCTTTTCAAATCCGTACTCACAACCATCATACATCCTCATNGCAAGGGAAGGACTGGGGCACGTAGGAAATTTCCTCGTGTAGTCCGGCCGGAATCCGGCGGCAAAGAACCGGCGAATATCCGGTGCTATCCAGCTGTTTTCCGACACGGAATCTGCAGAATTGTATCGATTTCCGATGTTTTCCGTCTCGGTTCCGTGCCAGTTCCGGCGGCCGGAATGCTCGACCTGGGGTCTTGTAGGTGTGGAATGTTCATGTAGCGCATGGTCACCAGAGTTTGGGCGAAGGGCTAATGGTCAATGTCGTACATTATGTCTTGCTCATGAAAGAAATGCTGGAACGTTATCATGTGGTAACGAATGGTGTTGTCTCTCACGTATTTGATGAAAGCCTATTCATTTATTCTTATAATCAGTATATTCTTTCAAAATAAATGCAATAAAATAACATCTTTCTAATTCGTGGATCAAATAAGATTTTCTATGGAAACTGATCAAGGCATTGTTTTTATATCAGAAAAAACTATACTTGAAAGAAACGTTTACATTGTAAAACTTTGAGAATCACAAAATGCTAGTCAAGGGCATTTTATTCAAATAGATAAATCAGATTGTTTCTAGAGAAGAAAAGTAAAATCGAGTTGAGAGGTTACTTCTTTCTCTCATTACTTGAAAACTGTATATACATAAAATGAAACATATGTTCAATAGAAGAAGGTTAAGTTTGAATAATTATCATTCGATACAAAGTATTGTTTAGTTACAACAATTTAAATGAAGATTGAAATAAATCAACTGAGCACACAAAAGCTATTTACATTTCAAAAAGATTTATTTTATAAACGAATAATTTCTCACTTTTTCTTGCCAGCAAAAATTATCCATTTGCTTGTATTCCAATACAGACAGTACAGTCTTTTTAGACAAGAGGACATTTGTGTTTATTTAAGAATATATCGATACTCATTTCTTCCTTACTAACACTAATTATATCTTGATAATGATCATTATTGAAATCTGCAATACTTAACCATTTTGGAGAATATGAAATTTCTCCAAACAAAACCAATTGTGAATAAAATTGACCATTTCCCAAACCAAATAATCCATAGATTCTATCAGGCTTACGTAGATCGAAAATAATATCTAAATGATTATCACCATTTATATCATGAACAAGAACAAAATTTGATGTCTCAATCGATTTTCTAACAAATTTTCCAAACAAATTAAAACTTTTATTATCATATTGATATATCATACAAGTTAGATCATTCCAACTATAGACAAATCCAATCTCAGATTGATTATCATTATTAAAATCATTAATGACTAGATAAGAATATTGAACATCAATTGCCGTAAAAAATATGACTCGTTTTTCAAATGTTTTATTTGCATTTCCAAAAAAGACATGAATATGTGCAGATTTTGTATTGTAAACAATAAGATCGACATATTGATCATTATTAACATCACCAATCATTAATCTCTGTAAAGTACCAATTAAATATACAAATAATTTAACTTTTGATGAAAAATTTCCATTACTTTTTCCATAGAAAATGTTTATATTAGGATCATTGGGTAAAATTACCAGTATATCCAAGAATGTGTCATTATTCACATCGAAAACAACAATTTCTGATAGCTTTGTACTTTTAAAATTTAATAACTTTGTGTATGTCTGAAGTGATCCATTCTCAATACTATATAAAATGGTGAAAGCACATTCATTGGATATTTTGTGTGTTATAAGTATATCTGATCGATTATCCTTGTTAAAGTCCTCAACATGAATATGCATTAAAAATTTCAATGTTTGAAACAAAAATATATTTGGTTCGTGAAATGTACCATTTCCATTACCCAATAAAATGAACATCTTTTGATTTTGTTTAAATTCACAAATATAGACGAGATCAACTTGATTATCATTATTAAGATCACTAATCGAGATTACAAAGCTTCTTACTTCACTTTCAGAACAAACAATTTTGAGAGATATTTGTTCGAATTTACTTTGACAAGGTAATTCTGAAAAGATACTTGAAGATGCTACTAACATTATATTTGTTGTTGTTAATGTTGTATTCGATCTCTCATCTATTGTTTGAATTTTCGATAAAACTATATGGAGAAAAAAAGCAGATCTTTCTGAGCTTTTTGTATTCTTGATTTCGCCTTAGTCTTACCGTTTTCACTATAAAAACGTGAAAAGATGAATACAGTAACAACGAGAAATATAAGTGATATGATGATTGAAATGAATTTCAAATAACACTGATTTGGTAGAGTGAGTATTTGTCTAAAAAGAAGAAATTTAAAATTGAAATCAAAATATTTATAATTATACTTGGATGTTTGATTATCATTTGATGGTATTGTAGGATAAACTAATCTTGTTTGTCTTTTTTGATAAGAATAAAATTTTAAAACAATTCGAATTAATTTTGGGCAAATCCATTTCAGAACAATTGTTAAACCACCTTGAAGACTCAAAAATAGAGTGATGATGTACAAAACATTAAATTTCGTATGATAAGTATAGAAACATAACGAAGGTAAACATAGATGATAATAGGATGGATAATTCGCTTTTCTTATCCATTGTTCAATAAATGAATGACTAATCAATTCATTGATAGTTGTGTTTGGTGGAAAATAATCAGATATATTTAGAAAAGGAATTGAATAATCATATTGATTTGTATATTGATAAAGAAGATTAAGACATACTTGATCATAAAAACATTCCAGAGTTGATAAATGAAATGATTCACTTGGTAAACATCCTATTTTTAATCCACGAATTGAAATTATTGTCGATTGGTTAAAAATAAACGTGGCTTGAGTTGTACAATTGATAAATAAACTACATGAACAGTTATCATCATAAATTATTCCTTCTGAATAGGCATAAGTTTTTTTCGAAACATCCAAAAGATAAGAATGCTGAAAATTTGTGCCATAGGTTGACATAAAAGCATTTCCATGAGTAATAGTTTGAATCATAGAAAGAAAACGAGAGAATAAAATCGAAACTTTCGATTCACTTTGATCAATAAGAGTATTGAGGCGATTATGAAAATTTTCTTTTGTTAATAATTCAGTAGTAACTAATAATGATGTAAGAAAGTCATTGACAGTTTGATGAACTGATTCATTAAAAATTAGACATAATCGTTGAAGATATTGAAGATGAGCTGGAAGATATCGACGATAATCGCTTGTTGAATAAATCGATAGATTAGAAACAAGACCATTTGTTAAACGAATTCTCCATTCATCAGAAATAAATTCACTTGAACAAATCTTTATGAAAACGAAACCACCATAATCATTCTCTTGATAATTCGAATCTACTTACTGGATGAAATTTTGGTGTAATTTCTACATAGTCATTGTATACCGATGCTATTCGTGAACATGAACATTTTAATTTATTTCCATAAGTTTCTTCCAAACGTTTATAGAAACTAAATTCAGGTTCATCAATAATTTTTGTGATAGTAAATGGTTGAATAATTGTATAAAAGACCAGAATTATAAAACTACTAAGAAATAAAAGAATATAAAGACGAGTTGCCCATCGACCATGATGTTGAGCTGTTAAGCGATCAGTATTACTTCCAAGATCACGTAATGAAAAAATATTCAGTTGAACTAAACTTTTCAAAAGAGATTTCATTAATTCTCTCATCGCCTTTTTTATTCGATCAATACAATTAGGATGAACTAAAATAAACAAAGTATTCTAATTTTTTCCCATATAAAAACTTTATATACTTATTTACCTCGTTGTTCTTGTATCTCTTGATTTTGTTCTTTCTTTTGAAATAATTTTTTTAATTTAAAAATAAATTCAACAAGATGAGGTGTAATTATACGTAACGACGCGACGATACCGCCAATCATTGATATTAACTTTACTATCACTCCAAAAAAGTCATATTTAGAAATTTGTTGAAAATAAGCACAATAAATAGGTGCACATGACTGATAAAATAATTGATACGATGAAGATGGATTCCATTGCTCAATCATAACTTCTTTAAACATATCGAAAACTGTTGTATTTGGAGGAAAACGTGTGAAGTTTGAATTATAAATCAATGGATAAATGATAAGTGATGATGATCGATCTTTAAAAGTTTGATAAATCTTTGCAACATGACTTATTAACAGTGGAAAACAATCGGAATCGTCGTATAGACATTGAAGTGTTGATAGTAGAAGTGAATCAATATCATGACATCGTCTAATCCAACCTGTTACATTGTAATTTTTTTCCGAACCTTTATGAGTGTCAGGATCAAAAATAGAAATATGCAAAACAGTTTGAGTTTGACAAGATGGATTTGTTGCACAAAAACATAAAGTTTCATCAGCATTATTTTCTTTGATTCCATTCAATAAAAATTGTAACTAAAACGAAATATTTGCCAATAATTTAAAGTTTTTCTATTCAAACACAATTCATACCTGATTTGATTTATTTACAAGTGTTTGATTCGTTATCATATTTGGAACTATGTCATCAACTACTGAGCTCATCCTATCTCGAATGTATCGTACATAATGTTGATCGATTTGCATTAATAATTGTGAAATATTTATCATCAGATGAAAACTATGAAATGATGTTTGATAAAATTGACGAAGACTTGCATTGATTTGTTCATGGAATTCAGTTTCATTAATTACAGAAGAAACAATGAATAATTGTGAAAGATATTCATGCATTGCATTTTCAATTGTTTTATTTGCTAAATAACAAAAATCAGATAATAATTGAAATTGTGAAGGTGTCTGTTCAAGCCAATCATTCAAAATGTTATATTTTAAAGAAGCCTGTACAATTCTTATCCAATCTTCATGAATAAAACCACTGGAACATATTTGATGCAGATTTGGAGATAAAACAAGAAAATTTCTATTAGCTATTGCTTTGTTTAAACATGGACATTGAAGTGTACTAGAATACAAATTTTTTAAAGTATTATAAGTTGTTAATAATGGATTTGTTTGTCTTATGATCACAATTTCATTACTTAGTGATATAAATAAACAAAGTATAAGTGTTGAACCTACAAAAAAATGCGAAATTTTACATGACTTTTGATAAAGCATTGGATTTTACCTAATAATATGATATAAAGGCGTGTAATTATCTTTTGATGTTTGATACTTTCTTCTGTTCGATCATTGATGTTCTTGAATAAATTTAATCTTTTTATCTTTTGAACAAATTTCATTATATTCATTCTGTGGTCATTATTGTTTTTAGTCAAACAACATTTCCGTTTTACTATAAGATTAATTAAAAATGATGCAACAAGACGAAGAATAATGATTAGACCACCATAAAGACTAATAAATAGAGTTATTGCCACAGTTATTTTTGTTCGAGCTGTAGTTGAATATGAACATGATATAGAAGAGCATTGATGAGAATATTCTGTATAATTCATTTGTGTTGACCAGTTTACAATGAAAAGATCAGTTAAATATTCATAAACAGATCGTTCTTCATATGTTGAAGATAGAATTGAATGATTTGGCTTAAAATTAATCTAAATATGAATACAAAAACAAACATATGTAAAACATATTCAAGTAATGTTTCACCGACTTGTTGAAGAAGTGGAAAATAATCGAATAATAATTGGAGACATGATGCTTGATAAAGACAATGTAATGTACTGCTGAGAAGTACTTCAAGAGGAGTACATCCTGCATAAAATCCATTAACAATGGTAGAATTGGGTAAAGGTTCAAGATCAGATCTGCGAGTGGTGTTAATCAATTCATGCGATTTTGGACTTAAGGTAGCATTAATAAATAATCTATCTTTACTACATGATTGCAGTTTATTGTTCCCAGACTGTGTTACGTGATATGCCAATAAACGGGTAAAGTGATCCGTTCGAAATTGTGTTGAAAATACTAAATTTGTATTAAGAGCTGAAATAAAATAACGCGTTTGAATTGTATTTCGTAAATAATTTAAAAATGTTATCATTCGAGATGATGAACTATTTCTCAGATATTCAACGATTCCATCGATTTTTATTTCAATTTGTTTCTTAGAAAGAAGATAAAGAGTCACTAGTTCAGTATTATTGATATCGAGTTGAATTTGAGATATGATCTCGTTTGATTGTGAACAAAAGCGAGATAAAAGTTCAAACTAAAGAAAATATGAATATTTCATTGCTAATAGAGAAACTTACTTGTGAATATGCAGTTGTTCGAAAATCCCAAACACCATATTGACTTGCATTTTCAAAATATAAAGATTCAATCCATTGTCGAGTGAGAAATTTACTTTGACAAACAGGATGCATCGTTATATTAAAGGAAATAAAGTTTTGAAACGGTAAGATTATTGTTGAACATGGACATAAAAGAGTTTGATTATATTTAAGAGAAAGTTGTTCAAATATTTCGAGTGTTACATTTGATACAGTCACTGTTTTCGATGCAATACTGATCAAAGTACCGTAGAACGTGATGTAAAGACATACTGAAACAAAACACAATCTTTTCTTATAATCTTAAATTAATTGAGATAGTCAAAGACTCATTGTGTACACGAACACTGATTTGACAATTTTACGCTCTAATATGTGAACTATAGTGAACGAGACATAATATTATTTTCTTATTCGTTCGATATTAAAGGGATGAACACTTAATTAATCATCCAACTGTGATTCTCTCTTTTCTACGAATTTAGGTGTTGATTTGAACAATGAACACATTTACCGCACTTGGAATGAAGGAAAAGCAATAGTATGAGTCTATTAAAAAAACGGATCTTTTTTAGTGTTATCGTATTTTTCAAAAATTTTGAAATGTGAGCATAGAAACAGAGAATTCTATGACGGGTTTTGTGAGATGTCAAATAAATGTTTATCAGTTTAATCTCGAGCGAACAAGAACAAACTTTTTATCTGCAGAGAATTTAAAGTTAAAAATGCATTAACATTAGGTCCCGTTTATTACGGCCCACTCGTTTTCCTTTATCTAAAGAAAATTTTAAAATTTATCTTCCCATTTGATGTGACGTGAGAAAATCAAAATAAACTAGAAGATGCGCTGTGAAAAGCTCAATAACTTACACAAGTCTGCTGACTTTACGCTTTCGCAATTGGTGTTTTCAATCTAATCAGATCTCATTCACGCATCTTTTTTTACGACTTTTTGAAATCGATTACAATGTAGTGTAAACTGTAGTTTACAGAGCTTTTAATTAAATTAACTTTGTGTCAAACATACAAATTTTCATAGCGCATCTTCTAATTCATTTCTTGAGTACAGTAATATTACAAACTAAATTACCTGTAAGAAGAGTAACATACAACCATGTTTTATATTTTTGATGTTTAAGAATAATTGCTGGATCGCGAATATTATCTTCAGCTTCATCATCATCATCATCATACTCATGATTCTCTAACATGAAAAGATTATAATTCAATCCTTTTCGATAAATCCATATTGCTAATCCTTTCAGCTTCATCATCCAATAGTAATCAATAGATGAATAATCCGGTTTTTTCGTTTAGCATTAATAATGACTGCTAATTGTAGAGAGAAATCACGGTTAAATGGAAGAAAAAAAAGAGGATGTCGCATTAAAACACCCATGAACATATTTAGATTTAATTCTCTCTGGTAAAATAATTAAAAGACGTAGATCTCATCTGTTCATCTAATTTGAATAAATTAACAGAAAGTAAATTCACTTTTACAAAAAATCATTCATAATTCATCACAGAACGAGAATTAGTTTAAAAACAAGTTTATTCAAATCAATGGAAACATCTTTGAAGAATTCAAAGTGTAAAAATTCGATGGTATTTCTTGGATTTTCCAAATTGACGACATACGTAGTATTTAATAGAGAAACAAACGCATTTAGTAACTTCCGATAAAAAAAGAAAAATAAATGTCATTAAGTACTTTCTCATTTTATGATTTTATTCTAAATAAATCAGCAGTCAAAGATTATTTTGAATCAAGAGTGGGTGTGTGTGAAAGTGTTCAATGAATTTAAGCAGTTTAATTGATTTACCATCATCAGCATTCAATGTATCATTTTCATCAACTGTTCTAATCATTAAGAATTGACCTTTTCAAATTCATATTCACATTAATCATGCATTCTAACTTTCACACAAGTTTATTTAGTCATTTTTTTGATCAATACTAAAAGAATTACGTTTTTATTTATGAATGCATCTGATTGAAATAATTGCATACTGTCAAGTGAAGAATGCTGATTTACATAAATACTATACTTCAAATAAGTTACTTTTTTTTTCAGTAACGAAATAAACTATCAGTGCATTTTATATGTGTATATAAATCAACGCACAGAAAGAAAACTTCATTGGTATTCTATTTAACGATGGCTTTTGCTCGAACTTTATTCGTTGCTGTTGTTTTATTTTGTCTAATATTGCTTTTCAATACTGGTAAGATATTAACATATAAGAACGAAAGAAAGAAAGAAGTAAATTATGCGATGAATATATCTTGTAGGCGTGGAAGGTTCATGTAGCGCATGGTCACCAGAGTTTGGGCGAAGGGCTAATGGTCAATGTCGTACATTATGTCTTGCTCATGAAAGAAATGCTGGAACGTTATCATGTGGTAACAAATGGTGTTGTCTCTCACGTAGTTGATGAAAGCCTATTCATTTATTCTTATAATCAGTATATTCTTTCAAAATAAATTTAAAAACTGTTATATCTGCTTCAAGTAGTAGTACGAAGATTACAGAATAAAACGTCTTCTAGGCTTCAAAAAAGAAAAAACGTATTGACGTAGAGAAAGAACCAATAAACTTATCTCCCTCTTTCTTATTTTTCGAAACATGCTGTTGGAAGACACCGTTTCCTGTTCAAATAAAAGTCATTTACCAGGACAACGATGTTTTGTTTTCGTTATAAGCGAATCAAATGAATAAAGCATTATTTCCAAAAACTAGTTTGGATTATGAAGATCGTGATAATGTCATATTTTCTCATGTGATGAGTTACTCAATAAAGAAAAACCCATTATTAACAACATTCTTTTAGGTGCAAAATATGAAATACGTATATCTGCATTCTTTGGTCTAATTAGACTGATTCACAAACGAACTTATTATAAATGTACTTGATTCAAGAATATAGAAGTTATTGAAACATGTGGATTTGAGGATATTTATATATCGAAGATAGTTTCACTCTGAATCTGTTCCAAACAAAGTTAGTTCAAAGAAGAGAAAATCATTTTTTTTCGCAATTAATTATATACTACTTACGAGAGATAGTGTTGATGGATTTAATTTGAACCCATTCTTCTCCCTACTATTATACGCATTAATTATGCATTGCTTTTGGTTCGAATTAAGTCGGCTTATAGTTCGCTCCGATGGTGAAGACCATGCTTGACATAAAGTTTATTCAGCTGTTATTTGATTAAAATTTTGTAGACGATTAAAATTTGCTAAATAAATGTTTTTTCGATCGATATCAAGATCCATACATCTTTTGTAGATAATCTTGGTTTTTTCAATAAATGTTGTTGAAGTTGATTCAAGTTTGCGTTTACCTACACGACGACGACTAATAAGTTTGTCTTTTATTTGATCAGTTTTCATAGTACCATTCTCATTATTTATATTTTTATCTTCATTCAAAGGCTCTTGACCTGATTTTTCTGCATATCAAAATATTTTTTTTATATCGCTCAACAAAATATTCTTTTATATTTAGGTGTAGTTTTTTTGTTTCCATTCGTTATTTGTGTGCTATGCATCAGAATCAATAATTAATGGAACAATATCTTGCACAGTTCACAAATCTGACGATTCGGAAATTTTCCTTAGGCCTAAATCAAAACTCCGCCACACTTTAACTTCAAGTTCCAGAGTGTTAGTCTCTACAGATTGTTTCGATTAAAACTTACTTATCCATCACACTAGACGTAAAAGAACATGCCCTATACATATGTTACATTACATGGATGTTTCCTTAGATATCATAAGAAGTATTACTAGAAAAAGACCAAAAGAACAACATATCTAGGTCATGCAACAGAACGAAAGGAAGCTATATGTATATGGGTGTGAACGGTTACCAGGATACTTCTGATACATATTTTCATATAATTCTGACAGATGATGATGAAAATAGGACTATTTTATCAATTGTAGCACATATATACTTCTAATGATTCGCTACTGTTTGAAGTGTATATATCGCAAAGAATGAGAGTTATTAAATGTTTTTTATTAATTCATGTATTTTGAGTAGTTCATACCCAACTTAATAGTATGTACCTATCCGTTCCGCAATATTTGAAATGACAAAAACATAACTTCAGCTGTTTATTGCCAATCAACCACAAAAATATAATTTACTTGTTATGCTATAGATTTACGAATGGGATGCTTTTGTAATTTGATATTGCAGAGAGCTGAAACAACTTACACGGTCTTTGTAATTTTTATTCAAATCATCGATAGCTCCTTTGCAGGCATTTCTCAAAACAGCATATGTTTCAAGTCTTTGGTTAATGTTTTCGATGGCTTCTCGTGCGCTGATGATATCACGATTGTAGTTCTTGTTTTCGTCCATTAATTTACGTCCCTGTGGTTTTTTCGTTTGAGTAATAACATATTCTTCACCAATATATGCTTTATCAGCAATGATTTCTACTACAGATCTATGTGATATACAGCACTCAAAGTTAAAGTAATTTTACTAGCTGCTAATGATTTCATCTTGATATTCAACTGAATTTAAAATAACATACGAGCAACTCAACAGAGCAGAATTGATCAAGAATATCATTAGGAGTTTGTCTTCTGTTATCGAAGTCCATGTTACACGCGGAGACTACACTGGAAGAAAACGATTAATCACTTTCCAACGAGTCTTCAGTGAAAAGGTAAGTGATGCATTGTTGTGTCGAAAATAATCTTGTCGACTCTTTAATTCCATATCGTTAGAATAAGTATTTTACGAAACCATTCGTACCAAACCTTTCACACAAAATCTTCCAGTATCTTTTTAAATAAAAGTTTCGTGCAGAAACTCTTATACGAAATCTTTCAATCTTTTTAGTAAAGGTTTCATACGGAACCAAGTTAACGGAACTATTTTTCACAATTATCAAATAAAAGTTCCATACGAAAACTTTGCTTGGTGGAGCTAAGGAAGGTTTAGAACGTTTACTCAAAGTCGGATCCTTATGAAGTTCGGTAAAATACCTTTTTTTTCTTGAGTTTATAACAATGATGTTCAAATATTATCTAAAAATATGATAAAAATTAAGTATTTGATTTGTCTCATAGAATAGTCAATAAAGGAGTAAAATCTTATCGTCAATTCAGCACTAAGCCAGTTGTACATTTTGCTAATTGGTGAAGTTTCTGACGAATTTTATCATTAGCGAAACTTTGTATTTGGGATACGACACTAGGTCCTAATCAAAGACGATTACAATTGATTGGATAAAAAAACGATAAAAAAAAAGAATACGAGTTTTATAATCAATAGCGGCAATCTATCAACATATTAGGAAAATAAAAAAACGTTCCTTCTTGAAGTATTCTTGTCTTTTTAACATAATTCTACACATCTCCATATATACGAATATATCGTCACATGAATAGTAATTATCGTTCTAGTGAAAAATGATTTATATATAAATAACCAGTAGTTTCATTTCGTTCTGTTATATAAAGATTCATGCATCTCGACGTATATTAGATGATTATATTTAGCGCTATTTGATAAGCATACAGATCACGAATAAAAACGACGTTTGAGAAACTATAACATCTTTGAAAAGCAATGTTTTGGGAAGAGCCTCATTTTAAGACTATAAAGAGTATGAAAAAGAGGTGCAACACACTCTCAAAATTGTCGTAAAAGACACGAACTATAATGCGTTAGAAAACGGATGACTTGTTCTATCAGATAAGCTGTGAATCGAAAAATCGAAAAAATTTGACAAAATTTCACTTTTCAAGGTGGGAGTGAGGCCTTTAATAAAAAAGCGAATTGAAAAAATTTTTCATGGTGCCAGAAGGCCCTCGTCTCATGACCCCTTGCTTAGGAACGTTTAATGTGTTATCATCGAATGATAAAAATACACTGTTCTGTAAGTTATAGACATATGACAAGCAAAATTTCAAGTAAGATTTTTGTTATCTAAAACAGAAACGAACACAAAACAGAACTGCGTTATAGGTATTCTTTACATTGTCATGTTTTCTTAACAACGAAAAAGAATGTGGATAATAGCATAGGTTATTTTGGGTGCTTTTTATCTTTAAAAACAATGACACTACAAAAAACTCACTTTCATATATAAACCCATGTAAAATTCAGTATTTTTCACCATTGTACTTCTAGAAACCAACTTAATATTAACAATGAAGGCTTTCATTGCACTCTGTTTTTTATTCGTTTGTGTTTATTCTTCACGAACATTTGATGCAACATTAGATTCAACATGGGCTTTATACAAACGTACCTATGAAAAACAATATGCATCAAGTGCAGAAGAATCGAAACGGTGAGAGAGTTTTTCCTTCATTCCAGTTCAAGTATTGGTTTTTATTTCTAGTCGATCAATTTGGGAAGATCACGTTGCTCTTATTAAAAAACATAATCTTGAAGCTGATCTTGGTTTACATACTTATACATTGGGAATGAATAAATATGCTGATTTAGTATGTTTTAAAAAAATTCATTCTTATCATATCTCTCTATGAATATATTTACAGACTAATCAAGAATTCGTCAAACAAATGAATGGTTTTCGTCGTCCTTCAAATCTTAGTTTTCCTCAAACTTGTGATACAGAATATGTTGCTCCATCAAACTTCAAAAGACCAGATAGTGTTGGTATGTAATTAAGAAATTTCTTTGATTTATATAAATTTATCTCCAACAAAATAGATTGGCGTCCAAAAGGCTACGTAACACCAATAAAAGATCAAGGTCAATGTGGTTCATGTTGGGCTTTTTCAACAGTTGCTGCACTCGAAGGACAAACCTTTGCCAAAACAGGAAAACTTATTTCACTTTCTGAACAAAACTTAGTTGATTGTTCAACTTCCTATGGTAATCAAGGATGTAATGGTGGTTTAATGGACCCTTCGTTCCAATACATCAGAGACAATAAAGGTATTGACACTGAAGATAGCTATCCATATGAAGGTAAAGATGGTAAATGCCGATTCAATGCTGCAAAAGTTGGCGCTACAGATACTGTAAGTGATTTTTCTTCTAGCTTGCATAAAAATAATTTGTTTTTTCTTTTCATAGGGATGTACAGACATTAAAGCACAGAGTGAAGATGATTTACAAGATGCAATTGCCACAGTTGGTCCAATTTCAGTTGCTATTGATGCTTCGCATACATCATTTCAACTCTATAAATCGGGTGTTTATATTGAACCATTTTGTTCAGCAACACAACTTGATCATGCTGTTTTAGCTGTTGGTTATGGTAAACAAGGTACACATGATTATTATATTGTCAAAAATTCATGGGGCACCTCGTGGGGTAACGACGGTTACATCTTGATGGCTCGTAACAGAAATAACCAATGTGGTATTGCTACCAATGGTAGTTTTCCAAAAGTTTAAAAACTTTTTTGGAAATTAATTTTTTTAACCAGGCTTTGAATTTTTCGAAATTCTTTAATAAATCAATCCTGAAATTTAAATTTAGTTGTTCGGACATTCATACATACTGAATTTACTACTTTTTCTCAGCGTGAGGGTGTGAGTAGAGCTGCCATGACTAGTTTCATCTTCTGCTCAAGAAGACTCATCAGATGGGTCTTGATTTCAATGAATTGTAATTTAAAGTAAGAACATTCAATTTGCATTTGGAAACCTTCGAATTTTAATGAAAATGATGGAAAATTGCATTATTCTGTTATAAAAAGCTGAAGATGAATTGGGAGAATATTATTCATCGGAAGATAAAAACTAGTTGGGTGAGTGTTGTGATATCCATCGGGACTAGCTGATGATATGGCTTCCGAGAGAATTATAGTGATTTTTTGTTTCAGAATGGCAAAAAGCTTTTGTAGTAGTGAAAGTAAATGATAGGAGATCTCCTCGTTGTGTGGCAGGGAAAATCTGTGGTCAAATAGGCTTATTATGTAACTTTGTATTGGGAAATTTTTGTCCTCTACCTTAGTCGAACTATTAATATGGGATGTTGCTATTTCATCGTCTTGAGGATAGTTCTTATATTATATGGAACACTGGTGTAATAGAAATCAACAATTTAAAAGAAAATTCTATTTTTTTCTGTGACACTTTAAATCAATTTTTGGCTCTCATAGTGTTTTATGTGCTGGGCACTGAGTGAATCTGTCTGAACCGTCTTGGTGTTGTTTAATGAGAAATATTTGTTTGTTATCGCCTTACCTTAGATTTGCTGATTCCTTAATATTTTGTCCGGTTTGAATCATAAGATATGAAGGTAGATATTAGTAAGAATTTTCCACTTTGAATTATGAATTGGTGGTTATAAATTTGATTCTCAATTATTGTTGATTTTGGCTGCAAGTGAAGACTGATGTTTATTCAGTTTGGAGGCTTTTCGGATGAAAATCAGTTTCGGTGAAGTGAGGATGCTTGGTTGATTCGTAATGGACGTGAAATTTCCTTAGATTGTATTTTTGTATAATTTAACATAATTGAATGATATCCGAATTTACTGTTTGATGTCTGTAGATAATTTCAAAGTGTTAATGTGTAGTCTAGAAGAAGATGAAAAATGAACATTCTGATTGAAATGGTGCTGGTTTATATAGTCGCTGAAAGAAAATGAACTTTGGCCTTTTCTAGGACGGAATGTAGGTTGGAAAGCATTCTTCCCACTGATTTATATGAGAGAATGCTTGAAAATTGGTATTTTAGACCGACGCATATATGAAGTATTCATTTTATCTACATGTAAAGATGCATGAGAACGAGAAAAGAATTTTTCAAGGGGGTGCTTCGAAACTATGCCCTTCCAATGTGCCGTTATTCAATCAGAGATGAAACTATCCGTTCTCAAAGATGGAATCTGAAGGCCGATCAAAGTTCAGTAGAAACAGCTATTATATAAGTCATGAGAAAAAAGTGAGGGTGAGGGTGTGGGGTGTGGGTGTGAGATGAGCTGCCATGACCGGTTTCGTCTTTTGCTCAAGAAGACTCATCTAATGGCCTATGATTTCGTATAATTTAACTTCAAATCTTGAGGGTGTGGGTGAGTGAGGGTGCGGGTGTTCGGAATGAGTGGTACGAAACGTAGATCACTCCTTTCGAATGTCCACACACCTTCGCCCTCCCTTTCATCGTGACACGAACGTGAGAAGTAGGTTCTAGCCAGTTCAGTAGATCCATTGAGATCAACTCTAAACGAGAACGACGATAGAATGTGGTTTATTAAATATTATCATTTACCTAGTTGAATGCCAGGCTATTGAGAATTTTCCGTCGATAGATTTGCATCGATATTAGTGACGACTAGTGAGAAAGACTAAAAATAAATAGCAAATGAAAATTGCATCGATATTTATAGGGACTCATCGGACGCTCTATTGAAAACTGGACGTCGGCTGGTGTAAAGGGCTATGTCTTTCAATGAGTCTTCTCCTTTTGCTAACTGAACCAACGGCAGATATCAATGGTTTCGTAGAGGGTTCGCCGAACAGGAACAATGATTATGAGATCATTAATTCTTTTGCGGAACTTATACGGAACTACTGACCAGTACAAAAATATATTTGTATATACGAGTAAATTATGGGAAACCTTGAGGCGCTGTACGAAAATAGGGATAGTTTGGTACAAATACTGCCAACACTTCATTCATTCGACGGAGTAGATAATGATTTCCCAAAGGTTATACTGAACTAATCAGAGGCATATAGAACTCGCCATAGTTTAGTGTATATTTATCAAACCTCTGACTAATATACAAAGCCAGCAATAGTTTAGCATGAATTCTGCCGAATCTTACGCGAGAAAAATAAACCGATGTTAGTTTCGTCTAAATTTCATCAAATCATGAATAAGTACACGGAATCGCTGATGATTTCGAAGAACTTCTGCCGAAAAGTTACTCGTTCTACGAGTTCCTTGATAGTTTTGAATAAATCCTGCCGAACTTGCGATTACTGTTCGAAGCTATTGATATTTCCGCAGAAGTTTCTCTGAGCTATTGATAGTTTTGCAAAGCTGTTAACAAATCGTGAGTGAGCTCACGAGAACCTTGGGCGATTTTGCTAGAAATCTGGACAACCCTAAGCCAAAGTACGACATTAATGATGGTTCTGCAGAGGTTATGCACAACGTCTTTGTAGTACATGAAAGTATGTACCGTTCTGTGTAACGAAAACGAAACGTTTATACGAGCTGCTGAATTCTAGATAGTTTTATGCTAAAGGTACGGAACCGTTTCGAAGCTGGCAGTATTTTGGTTCGTTCCGTATAAAACGCACAAAACCAATACCAACTTGACTAAGGCAAAAATGTTCGGTATTATGTGTGCGAAACCTTGCTTTTTCTTACTGAGGTCCTAATCGTTCAGTATAAGTCGTGGGTTAGCTTTATGAACTTATACGAAGCTATGAATAGTTCTTTGTACATGAAACCGAGTCTTCAAAGACACAATTGGATGATGAAAAGTTTTGCATGTACTATACTGAACCTTCTGAGACATAAATGATATGCCATTGGTTGAGTACGAGACACGCAGAACTTTTGGTTAATTTTCGGAATTTATAAAGATTCGTACATGCTATGCGAAACTCAGAGCCGATCAGTACTGAATACACTGAACCTTTGATAGACATACGAAACCCCGCAGGGGTTTGTATTGAATGTACTGAGCTTTTAAGAATTTACAAACTCGTTATTGGTTTCGACCATTCCACACGAAACCAAGTCTAGTTTAGTTTAAAATGTTCTAAACTTTTCGAAAACTGACGAACCATCGATGCGTCGGCGTGAAAGCGTCTGATCCATCAACTTGCCTGCGAAACTAGGAATAGTTTCGTAGAAAATTGACGAAACGTCTCATCACACTCCTAAACCGCTGATGGTTCTGTAGACATGTTACAGAGCTACGAATGGTTTCGCATACCGCATTAAAAACCTGTGGATGGTTTTTGCTACCAATTGCCGAACCTTCTCGACGCTACGGAACTTAAAATAGTTCGGCAGTTCAAGCGCGGAACATTTTTCGTTTTTCTGAACTTAAAATCGTTCAGTCGAAGTAGAGGAATCCTTTTTGGTTCGGTGAAACTCCTTCTTTTTTTTGAGTGATTCATGGGGCACCTTTTATTCTTCATCAATGCGTACTAATTTATTTATTTCAAGTACTGGTGCACACGCAGTAATGCGTTGGATACCTGGAGCATCTTCAGATGTTCTTATAGCTGGTATATCTGGTACATCAGGTTTTAATGCGACTCTCGTAAACAATCCAGCAAGCGTTAAAGTGGATACGTTTATGAAATTTTATGTTGCTGATTGTAATAATGGAAGAATACAAATGCTTTGTTCGAATAATAGCCCAGGTGAAAACGACCATATCGGATCCTGTCGGACGGGTATCAAATCCTTTGTCTCACGGACGATCGGATTCGATCGGTTACTATTGAGCGGATTCCGATCAAATCTTATATTTTTCTTCGATATCCGTCCATCGGATACGTTGAGTTCCGACAAAATTCACACATTCCGAACCGGTCGGATCCTGTCGCAGGATTCGACTAGCTCCGATCGGACTCAGCCTTATCCGATGCCAGGAAAAGAGCAGAATTCCCTGTTTCACATGATACCGCGTTCCATCATAATACCAAGCAATTGCTGCCATCGGAATCGGTCGGATATATATGGATTCCCTTTATCGATTTTTGTATTTTCATGCATTATGGTTCCGACAGATATCGGCCACTGCTATATGTCGGAAATGAGCAGAAACCGACTCATAACCATCAGCATGATGGCTGTAATCAGCTTGATCGAAAATACAATGCCTGATAGCTCCGTTTGACCATTATTCTACATGCACTGCGCCGAGCAAAATTCAAAACCAGCACAACTAGCTTACTAACCCAAAGTAGTCACTAACAATTGCACTCCAATCAACCAGATTCCTTCGCACGCAATACACAATCATCGGAATCCTTTGAAATCACCTAAAATCCGGCCAATGCAAGTAATAAGCGCATTCATCTCCTTTGATTTCCAACTCTACAAACTCCCGCGATCCGCCAAATCACGACACTATTCAAAATTCGTCTCACTTCTCCTGAAAAAAAAACTAACTAATGACCAACTTGAAACCTATCCTTTCATCGCATTCACCGTTATCATTCCCACACCTACGCCTATCTAAGCTACTCTTCTTCATCCAGACGTGTCCCAATCTAGTGTAATCTTGACGATCCAGCGAAAACTACTAAAATCTAGAATAATTTTATTCCAACCGGCCAACATCTATTGCGCCTCCGCCAAATCTACCGTAATTTTCCACAATCTCATTGATATCCTCTATAATCTAAACACACTTTAGCGTAATCCCGCTTACCCTAGCTGAAATCCACCGAAATTTAGCTCCATCCGCGATTATCTAAGCGAGACCTACACCAAACCACGTGAAATATACCGTAATCTTGTTCAAATCCAGCGAACTGTATTGCAATATAGATAAAATCCAATGTAATCCAGTCTCATACAGCTCATATCTAGCTGAGATCGCCTAAAAATTCGCTCAAATCCAGAGTCACCCACTCTAGTCTAGCTGAAATCTAGCTGAAAACTAGCTCAAATCCAGTATAACCCACTCTAGTCTAGCTGGAATCCAGCTGAAAATTAGCTCAAATCCAGTATAACCCATTCTAGTCTAGCTGAAATCTAGGTCAAATCCAGTGTAATATGCGTAGAATCGAGTGTCATCTCGGTCGAATATAATGCACTCTAGCTGTTTTGAAGTGGGATCCTCCTGTAACTACTAACAGTCCGTTCGATTGTTGATGACTTCTGGGTGTGTTTTAGGGGTGGACCGTTGAAATGAATCGCATTTGATTGACGAACTAAGGATTAAAAAAATCATTTTCTACGATACTCGGTGAGCATTGTCCGTCCGCTACAATCAAACGCGGACCAGAAAAAAGGTTTTCCGAAGATTTCAAGGGAGTTTCACTCAATTCTTACCGTCATACTGAAAGAAAACTGTTAATTCCTGGATGTTTCTTTCACCCCGAACTCGGATTGATCGATTTGGCCGATCGGCGATGACCGGCATTAAATCTTCAAAATTTTATTCTATGTAGAAACTCTTTCCGAGAACGTCAGTGCCGCATGGTTTTTTCCGCTAAGGAGAGAGTATCCTAAAAATCCACTGTGGACAATGTCCGCTTTATCCAAAGCCGTGGATTTTTACTGCATTCTTAACTCGTGTGCCGTGTATAGCCTTCAAGCTTATAACAAGCGATCTCCAAAGTGTATGGTATTTGCTGTCCAAAGATTAGAAGCGATGGTTAATATCTTCGTGCCCTCCTGTATATTCGGCGGGCTGCTCCAGTTTACTACCGGATCATTTAGTTGTTACCCATCAGAACGTAACTGCTGGGCGTGAACGAATTTACAGTTGTCCCTTAAGTAACACCCAAGGATTCTTACGGGTTAAATACTTTATTAACTGGAATTTAACAGATAAGTTAGAGCATTTACTTTTTACACTAACCTAAGCCGAACCCCCGTTAATTGTTAATACTAACGATTAACGGTTTACGTTTAAGTTAATTCCAAATTAACATAAAATTGCAACTCCCACACTAACGAAAAGATCAATATTCCGTTCAGATTACATTCACCGTTTTGTTTCGCGCACCTTACCCCTATATATACCCCTCTTCTTTTTGCAATTCTCGTCGATTCAAGGTGTCATCTGAAAATCTATATTCCGTTCAGATTATAGCAATGCTTTCGTTTTGTTGTTTCGCCGTTGAGTGAGCCGATGGATATCCATATACATAATCCTATGATAACGGATTCGGTGTGTCGTGGATCTGGGTTACCCGAACTTCGCCAATAAGACTTTCACCAACTGGATGTTCGCCAATGGCGAACGTCCACTGTACTCTCGCCAACATATAGCATGTATTTTCGCCAATTGGCGAAAGTCTATAGGAGATTCACCAGTGTACTGTACAGAACTTCGCCAGTTATCGGATGTCTGCTGTACTTTAGCCAATGCATTCCTCGGACTTTCGCCAGCTACAATATGACTTACACTCATGACGATGAATTTCAACAATAAGTTTATTTAGTGATATTCCATTATGTTGTGATCCTTTTTTAAAAACCATTTTAGATAATCATTGACAAATGCCAGTTACAACACGTGCTGCTGCTTTGAAATCTGGAACTAAGAAGGATAATATGGCTTCAGCTAGAGTTTCCATTAAGAAAAAAGGACGATCACGGTCACGGAAACAACAACAAACAAAAACGCAGGAAGATCCACTGCCGACGACTCTTGTTGCGTCTGAAGTACGTCCTGTCGTGGAGCAACAATCAACAGATCAAATGGTTCTTCATCTTGACGACGACAACAGCAAGAAGAATGATGAGATGGATATATCGATCGAAAGTCTATTTTCCGATCAAGAAACCATGTCGTCAACAACAAATGAAGAAAAGGTAAACAAACATATCATGAATAATTAATCCAATCTCTTCATCTGTAGGATCCTCAAACAAATTCAACAACATCATCAGTGCCAATTGGAACGACAACATCGGAAACTGGAGCAACCGCTGTACCAATTGTATCAAGGGTGTCACTGGATAGCGATGATGATGATGCCACCAGTAAACCGGTTGTTGGTGGCGAAATTACATATGGTACATCGACGCGAGGTGGTGAAATGATCTATATGAATATGTACGGCTATATTCATATGAACGAAACAAAAGATTGTATTGGGTGGCGTTGTGTGAAACGGAATGAAAATTGCAAAGCGGTGATATACACTTTCAAGAGTAATGGTCTGTTCAGTCATTGGAATGGAAAATTCCACTGTCATGCAATCGATTTGGCTGACACAAGAAGACGGGAAATTGTATCGAAGATAAAGCGTCGTATCCTGGACGAGTTTGTTCCGATCAAAGTGATAATAGACGAAGAATATAGAAAGGCAAAGTTGTCCGATGAAGAAAAAAGAGCAATGCCACTGCCAACACAAATTGGTGAATTAATTTATCAATTTTCTTTCATAAGAATCTTCTTCTCTACTTTCCCATGTAGAGTCTGGTCTTCAAAAATANTGATGGTTCTGTAGACATGTTACAGAACTACGAATGGTTTCGCATACCGCATTAAAAACCTGTGGATGGTTTTTGCTACCAATTGCCGAACCTTCTCGACGCTACGGAACTTAAAATAGTTCGGCAGTTCAAGCACGGAACATTTTTCGTTTTTCTGAATTTCAAATCGTTCAGTCGAAGTATAGGAAACCTTTTAGGTTCGGTAAAACTCCTCCTTTTTTTTGAATGCAACATATCTTTTATCAAATAGCATGGTTATGTTCCCCATGTTCAGATCTATCTTTGATAAAAATTCCAGGTCTCTACCATATTCCGGTGAAGAGATATTGTAAAAATGATGATGGTTGTCGACAACCCCAAAAAACCAAAAACTAATAAGAAGGCATTTCGGTACTTTTCTGAAAAGATTTCGTATCTCAGCCAAACTTCAAGCTTTAGGGCTAAAAACTTTGATTTATGCCTGGAAAATATCCTCTACAAGATGGACTAACTGTCTACGAAATACGTAGCAAGGGGGCAAAAGCACAATCTTTTGGATCCTTCTGGATTCTTCGGATTCTTTTAGATTCTGCGGATCCTCTTGGGCCCTGCTGAATCCCAGGCAATTATAGGATAGGTCGTTTTCCTTTGCCAACATTGAACAACATCTGAAAAAGTCCAAGAGAATCCATAGAATCCAAGGATCCAGGATCCGCTTTTCCCCCTTGCTCAAAAGTATCTACTCCAAGCCCTTCCTTTTTAATTGGTGAAAACTGCAGCTCGAAATAACTTTCCAATCAAAGGTTAAAACAATTTTTTTCCATCTGCCTTTTTCATTTCGATTGTAGTATATGTCACTTAATCAATAAAAGTGAAAAAATGAAAAGTTTTGTGGTAATTTTACTCACTTACCCCTCCTCATCCTCAAGATGTAACTTTAATTCCTGCTTGGATTGTGTGATCTTTCTTTAAAAGTTATTCGCACTTCTTCAGACATACTTATGTTGTTACATCTTATCTTAAATTCATGATACTTTTGTGGACACAATCTATAACTCTTTTACTCCCGAGCTTGTTACACTCAAAAGATTTATGCTGACCCTCACCCTCACCCTCGCCTTCGCCCTCCATACCTATGTCTATCTATGAAAACGGTTTAATAATGATTAAACAAAAAAGATACACAATCAATGTATAAAATTAACAAAAAATCTGTAGAATATCTGTACAGACTGTCGCATTGTTTTAATTGATTGTTAATCTGTTCTGATACGTAAATTTGATTAAAGAATTAATAGCATAATAGGTAATGGATTTGGCTCCTATAGGACTCTAAGCACTAAGATTAACATGAAATAAGGCAGTTAGAGCGGCGCTGTCCATCGTAATCATTTTCATCAGCACGAGAGTAAAGGAAAATAGTACAGAAATAGGGTAAGTACGGATTGAATTGGTAGTACTAGTGACACTGGTAGTAGTATATATAGGAAGAAGACCACAGCAATAGTTGCAACAATAAATAACATCATCATCTTGCTCGTCGCCACCGAAGCCATTGCAATCAGTGTAGGAATATATACCATTTCTACTAATACTAAGAGCATTATCATAACTAGAATTACTATAGTTATAACCGGGACAGTTACAACCAAGATAATGATTAATAACACCATAATAACCAAAAGCACGAAGATGCATTATAGTATAATCAGGATAATTAGCATTACAGTTAGGATTATTGCCACGACTACAGTGAGTNTCGTCGCCACCGAAGCCATTGCAATCAGTGTAGGAATATATACCATTTCTACTAATACTAAGAGCATTATCATAACTAGAATTACTATAGTTATAACCGGGACAGTTACAACCAAGATAATGATTAATAACACCATAATAACCAAAAGCACGAAGATGCATTATAGTATAATCAGGATAATTAGCATCAGGGGTCCGCGTGGGATGGGACAATCCCATCCCATCTCATCCCATCCCATCCCATCCCATCCCATGGGACGTTTTTGAAAAAAATTTGTCCCATGGGATGGGATGGGATGAAAAAATTTTTTTTGTCCCATCCCATCATGGGACGAAAATTTTTTTAAAATCCCATCCCATGGGACGAGCTGTTTTTGAGTTTAGTATTTTTTCGAAAATCCTGTTAGTATAGAGGTCTCTCGTGTTCATTCAACCGAAACAAGTTGATGAATATTTCAAAATACTTCTTGAATGGTCAAACGACGTAACCATTGAATAGTGACAGAATCGAAAGAATGAATCAGAATATAAACAAAAACCTCGACTGAATTAATCTATTGTGATAAAAAAAGGTGATTTTATTTTCAAACAACTTAATCTTAATAATGTCTTCGAACAATTCGTCATTTATCGTTGAAAGTCCACCTAATGCACATGAGATCGTAGATTTAACTACAACCACATCTCCTACTCTTCATATAACCTCACCTTCAGGCGATGATTTCTCATCAATTACTAATGAATTTACAACTGAACGAGTGTGTCGTTTATTAAGCAAGAATCCAGAAAATTATAAAGTGATTAAAAATACAAAGAATAATTTAACGTCTATATGTTGGAATCTCTTTGGTATCCCGACTAGAAAAATCCTTGGAACAGAAGAATTTGAACCAATTCAAGGTTTTGTTAGTTGTGAATCCTGCTTTCAAACATATGCATTTTCATCTACTTCTGGTACACGAGTACTTAATTCGCATACATGTGTTCAGAAGTTTTCTTCTGGAACAAGAAAACGATCTTCTTCTGAAAGTGGAACTAATCATCAAATGAAATTAGAAACAATTACAAAATCTTATAAAGATGTTCGTTTACCAGAGAAACCAATCAATATAATCAAAGAATTAACATGTAAATGGGTATGTCAAGATATGAGACCGTTTTCAATTGTAGAAGATATTGGATTAGAAAATTTATTACAAGAATTCATTAATATAGGTAAGCAGATTTTAATCATGTTTTAACAATGATGATCTTTTGAAATTTTAAGGTGCTACATATGGAAAAATTAATGTAAAAAATGTTCTTCGTGGTGCAGATGTAGTTGCAAAACAAGTTTACAAATTAGCTGATGATTATCGTGCTGAATTACGAGAATTGTTGAAAGAACCGTATGAAAACAACTGTATTTGTGTTAGTCCTGATATGTGGTCTGATCCATATAAACAAATTTCATATATGGGAATATCAATTTCATTTACTGATAAAAATTTTATTTATAAATCGGTTGATATATGTTGTCGACCATATCTACAACAAGACCATACCGGTTCAAACATTCTGCTGGTGAGAAGAACATTTTTTTTCTCCTTTTTCAACCATCAACGTAGGAAAAACGTTAAAATAATTTCTGTCGTTGATAAAAAAGTATCAAACATAACAATACGCAGTATTTCACTCATTCTAATTCTACTTTATTATATCTCGTTTTTCTTCCTTCTTTAGTCTATTCAGCAATGCTTAGAACCATTTGGTTTAATTGATTTCGATAAACTAACATTTGTATCGGATCGTGGACCTAACTTAGTGTGTGCTTTACGTCGTTATAATACATTATTTTGTTATCCACATCGTCTAAACAACATTTTAAAACGCTCTTTTTTTCAAACAGAACGTCAAGAGAAAAAGAAAAAAGACATATCGTCAGAAATACAGAGTAAAAACTTCACTGGAAACATCACAGCAAATAATACAATTAATTCATCTTCAAATGATGGAGATGACAGTTGTTCACCTTCAACTTCTTCTTCTGATGATGATGATGATGTAGGTAAAACTCAACCACTTCTTCCAATCAAATATAAAAAAAACAACAAAAATGAATTATTAATGTCAAAATCTGTTAATGATCCACGGAAAATGAAGTCGAAAGATTTACACCCATCTGCTCAACAAATCATTAATACTATCACTCGATGTAAAAATTTAGTTCGATATGTAAAAAAGGTAAGATAATTTGTCTTCTGTACAAATTTATAAATCAGCAAATATAAAAAGATAATCACACTGTGATTATCACAGTATATTAACTAGAAAATCATCATTAAGTATTCCTTTTTTGTTTAGAGTGGTTGTAACAAAGATATTCAATCAAATGGTGGTGTTGCTTTACAGCAATCGACTGTGGTTCGTTGGTTATCTTTAATCAATCTACTTGAAAGTATCGTACGTTCTTACAAAGCAACTAAACGAGTTTTAATTAATCGTAAACAGAATTCGAAGTTAAATGGAATCGATGTTGAAATTCTGAAGGAATTAATTCGTTTATTAAAACCCTTCAAACATATTTTGAAGATAGTTCAAACTACAAATACACCTTCATTGTATATGGTGCTGATTTGTACTCTTATGTTAAGAAAGACTTTAGGTTCGTTTGAAGAATTATTAGAATTTCATCAATCCGAACCACCAACAAATGATTCAATTGATGATGAAAATAGTAATTCTCATGCAATAGAAGATACTATTGAAAGTGAAGGTAAAATTTATCCCAAATTTGAAGAAATTTTCAAATATTATTTTCATTTATATCAGGAATACAAATTCTTCGCTTACGTATATTGGAATTGTTGAACATGATGTTCGAACTAGACGTTCGTCATTATGCTTCGACATTACTTCATCCTAGATATCGTAAACTTAAAGATTGTACAAAAACTGAACGTGAACAAACGTATACATACATTCGTAAATGTATGAAAGAAATAGAAAAGGAAGATAAAAAGAAGCAACAACAAGATCGTGAACCACCACAAAAGAAGAGAAAACTTGCACAATCATTTCTTCAACAATTTGAAGATGATAGTGATTATGAACAATCAATTGATGGAGACGATGTTGATGGAAACGAAGACTTTTCAATGAATTTACCAAAAGTAGATGAATTAGCACGTTATTCAGCTATGGAAATTGATAAATCAACATTAACAAATAATCCTCTTGATTTTTGGAGAATTAATCAAAATGATTTTCCACTTCTATCAAGAGTCGCTCGACAAATTCATAGTATTCCAGCGTCTTCTGCAGCAGTTGAACGTCAGTTCAGTGGTGCTGGTCTTGTCATCAATGAACGTCGGACTTCTTTACATCCGGATCAAGTCGACAACATTCTCTTTATTCGTTCAATGCAGAAAATGAAACTCGCTGAATAATCTATGGTATTAATTCTTTTTTATGTATTTATTAATGGAAATATTTTCTTAACACAAAGCAACATCTTCATTTATGACTCTAGTGTATTCTATTCTATTTTTTGTATTCATATAAATGATGACAGATATTGTTGAGAATTATAATAAAGCTGAGAAACATGATACGCAATTCTTAATAGTCTAGTACTATGAGTAAAACAGATGATAATGTGAAGAATTTGCTCTCAATACGATATATGTAACTTGTACGCAAAGTCATGGGATGGGATGGGATGGGACGAAATTTTTTTGTCCCATCCCATCCCATGGGACGAACATAATTTTTTGATCCCATCCCATCCCATCCCATCCCATGATTTCTAAAAATATTTGTCCCATCCCATGGGATGCACGAAAAAAAAAATTATCCCATGGGACGATTTTTTCCGTCCCATCCCATCCCACGCGGAGCCCTGATTAGCATTACAGTTAGGATTATTGCCACGACTACAGTGAGTGGTGTTGCAGGTAACAGTAGAGTTTTTAGAATCAAGACGACCAGGGTCATAGCAGACACAGTTCTGTGGTTGAACTTCTTGAATATCACCTAAAGTTATACTAATGGCAAGTAGACTTAAAGCCATTAATATGATTACAGACAACATGTTGTATTGCATTATGATACTCGAGAATGAATAAGAAACTAAAGAAGGTCGATAATTTGTGTAACTATAGAAGTCACGCCTTATATTCTCACCCTCAATTTTTTTCTTTGGTTCTTATCTTGTCTTATCTTTCTCTCAAAAGGATACACAAAATACAATGTAGAAATAAAAGTAAAAGCAGAAGCAAGTTTTGTGATTTGAATATCAACGAAAGACGTCAACAGTGATACAGCAGTGAAAGGTATTTGACGCAAAATACCACCGTACTTCGATTCCAAGATTAAGTAATTAGACTGTGACGTTATCAGCTCTTTGAGCAGAAAGAACTAATTCGAAACCGTTACTAATTAACCCTTAGTTCGTGAGCGATATCTATTCACAACCATTTTCCAGTTACCAGAAATAGTAACTATCCTTTTCAAATGAGTAAGTGAGCCCATGCTAGAAAAGAATTACAAAATACTTCAAGAGAACGGGAGCGTATAAGACTGCAAATTGGTGTAACGAAATATTGATGCGACGAGAGAAGAGATGTTCAGTTGAGAAGCCAACAGCAGATATAGGATGAGTCGTGTGGTGAAAGCAACTTTATTGAGTGTAAAATAAAGATGGAGGATTACGACGGAATCCATGGGAACCCAAGAATCACGATTCCGCTCTTTCCCCCTTGCGGATTCCTCTCTAAAACGAAAGAGTATATATAGGGGTGTAGGAAGGACATGGTCATGAGAAAAAGCCATGACAGAATTCAATGAACACAAAGGAACAAGGTTGAGAATTGAAAGATATAAAATACCAAAGCGCGTACTTCAAAAGAAAGACTATAGGATGAAGGATAAGATATAGGGATGTACAGAGACCGAGAAGCTCGGTCTCGGTGTGCTCCATCTAGATAAGGCTCGGCTCGAATCTCGGTGATCTCGACCGAGACCCCGAGCTTCTAGGTATTCCAAGTTTTAGTCACCAAAGCTCAAAGTTATAACAATTGATTTTGAGCACAGCCGACATTATTGTAGGTCGATTTCATTTAGACGGAGACTGTACGAATACTCGCCGAGACCAACGAGACCGAGATCGCCGAGACAGAGACGAGACTCTCGGTTCAGGCTCGGTCTCGGTACATTCCTACTAAGAAAGACATACAAAAGAGCAGAGAACAAAGAACACAAAGAAAAGAATAAAATAAAGATAAACTTGAAAAAATGAAAGTAATGACGAGATCCTGGTGAGATACGTTGTCATGATGATGTAGTGTCAGTATAGGCACACTCGCGGACAAATACTTCTTAGGTTTTGCAAATTTTGTAAACTACTGTTTCAACATGTCGACGCATTTGGTAGAAAATCGACCTTTGCGAAATCTTTCCGATGGGTTTAGTAGTAAACTTAATCTACAGTATATTTAGAACGTTTCTCTTCTATATTGCACTGAACGAAAAATGTCATATAGATCGTTTTGTAGAGCGAGTCCAGATCTATCGAATGGTATATGACTTAGTTTGAACAGTGGAAAAACTGTAGTGAAAAACTTCACAAAACGTAAAAGTTGGATTTTATGCATTTTTCAGTGTCATTTTTTCGGGGTACCTCAACTCGATCCATATTATCTCATCCTAAGTAAATCTTTGAAGCGTGATATTTTAGGCTCGTGGTAGGCGTGATAAAGACCAACTTTCTGGGAGGCTAGATCCAAAATCGACTGGCCCAATACTTCGCGCTCTCTGTAAAATCTTTGATTTTATGCTAGACTGTCTCTTAAATTCGTTTGTCAACAAACTCATATCGACATGTTTACCACTGAAGATGGCACCATATTTCTGTTTTTTTCTTTCTTCACAATAGTATGTAAACACAAAGCACAAAGAAACAAAGATAGAGCATACTTAAAGAAAAGTTTGTTTATTCTTGAATTTAAAATGTTTTAGAATAATACATGGACATACACAGCGAGTCGAACCAACTTGTAACTGAAACTAGCAAACAATCCAAATGGTGGCATCATCGTCGAGCTAAGATCATCGGAATTTCTTTTACAGTATTGATAATTCTATCAATTTCTCTAATTTTAATCCTAGAATTTTCCATACGCTCAACAAAAAAACCATACATCACCACTACGACTACCGCTCAGACATTCGGTAAGGTTTGGACTAAACTACCGTCTGTTCAAAAAGAGATGGCTGTAGATATTTATACAATAGCTTAGGAATGAAAAGAGGTAGCGATCTGCGATTTTCGTCCATGAGGTACTTTAGAAAAAAGCGATCACTATCTGTAGACATAGTGAGAGACTAGGAATCTAATAAAACAACAATTTTTACGACGAATACGGATAAAGACATTATATCTCATACGAGATCAGTATTAGATTAGAAACTAAGCGAAGCATCGTCACTCAGTTTACTACCTCAATTAACCCGTGTAGTACCAGAATCGTTTCTTCTAGCTGATACAACTCCAAATGCACTCCACAAACTGGTTTATATATTAACATTCGTCCCATGTATAAATTATCCTTTCAATCTTAAAATCATACTTCATCCTTTTCAACATTCAGAACTGTCTAAGACGCCCTGTGTTGATTAACTCTTTTCATCTACATTCTCTTCACACTCATCATCATCCTAAACCACCATTTAGTCGCCATTCCATGTTTTGCTCTCGTTGGCGACGTCACTATCAAGCATTACAGATTATTTACAACGGCAAACTAGAATGTATTCTTGACGTACACATTGTTCTCACGACCGGTTTAGATAATAACTTCAAAATCCGAAGTGAATCTAGCTGATTTGATGAAATACTGCCTGGTTTCAGGCTCGGATTGTTGGCAATACAGCGTATATCAACTGAGAACGAATCAGCTGATTTCACGATGCCAAAATTTTGAAGATTGTAAGGGATTATGAGGAATTTTAGTAATCATAAAATATGCTACTGCGCATCATCTACTGATTTCACTTTAAAACTTTTGATTCTTCAGACTGACAGTTGTACTATTTAGGTTCCAAGGATTGCAGAGTTTTTGAACGGTTCTAATTGATTCTGTACCTCAGAGTCAACTGTTTTTCCATTGTCTTGCGTTATTCTGAGTTATGGTAACTCACTTGTTCTGTGGTTTTTAATGAGTTTTACTGAGTCTTTTCTTGAGATTCCGAGGAATTTTAAGTAATTCTATTGGCTCTATCGTACGGCGTGAATACTCATGTGAGTTTACCGATTCTAAGAATATAGAATCAGCTGTTCTCCCCTTGGTAATAATACAATCCGTATAATGCGTAGCTTCTAGTAATTTATGAAAACTCACCCAAGCAGACAGACTTTTGAAAAAACGCGTTTCCACCATAAAAAAAATGTCATTTACACGTTAAAAGCGTCGTTTTTGACGTGCTGAGAACATCTTTTGATCGTGAAAACGCGTTTTTTTTCAAATGTCTGTCTGCTTGGGCAGATAAGTTTTGTATTCACGAAAGTTCGAAAAATATCTTAGTAAAGATGCGAAAGAGGTGATATTCTACAAAGTCGAAAATTTAAATACATGATCACGTTTACTCACACGTATTAACCGAACATTGCTTGCGCCGAAAATATATTAAAATACTTCTTTTTTATGTAGTATGGCACGTTACTGGTAGTATGAATACTCGACGAACAAGACATACAGCAATTCTGTTAAAGAACGGAAAAGTACTAGTTGCCGGTGGTTCAGACCGGCATTCTTGTGTGTTTAGTAGTGAGTTGTACGATTCAAAAACAGGCAACTGGACAAGTACTGGTAATATGAGCATTAACCGATGTGAGCATACAATGTCTGCTTTAACGAATGGAAAAGTTCTGGTCGCTGGCGGTGACACAAGCTTTGTTGAAATATATGACCCCACATTAGGTATTTGGACTACTATTGAACGCATGCATACGACACGACTTGGACACACAGCATCGACATTAGCAGATGGAAAATTGTTAGTTGCTGGTGGAGAAACGGATAGTGCTGAGATATACGATCCATTAACAGGAAATTGGACAGTCACTGATAGGATGCATAGACAACGATATCAGCACATAGCTGCCGTATTAACTAATGGAAAGGTGTTAGTTGCTGGTGGTTCCGAAGTTGACTACGAAGGCATTACGAATAGCTGTGAGTTGTATGACTCATCAGCAAAAATGTGGACAACTACTAGAGAAATGAGTCATCGACGAATGCAACATACAGCATTGGTATTAGCAAACGGAAAAGTGCTTGTAACTGGTGGGTATGATGATACACGAAAGTATCTCAAAAGCGCTGAATTGTACGATCCTTTAACAGAAACCTGGACAACTACTGGCAACATGAGTTTTCCACGAGCTGAGCACACAGCATCTCTATTAAGAAATGGAAAAGTGTTAGTTTCTGGTGGATTGGCTAAGAATTTAATACGGTATAGCACGGAATTGTATGACGTAGCAACAGGAATTTGGACAGTCGGTAATAATATGAACCATGTTCGAACTTTCCATACAGCAACCGAGTTAGAAAATGGAGATGTGTTAGTTGCTGGCGGGTCTGAGGGTGATAAAAGTGCTGAACTGTATGTTTCACCGAAAAAAACTTTAGCAACTATCAATAAAATAAATAATCTATCAAATGGTTACAAAGCACCAGTGACAAAAAAGGTGTTAAATAAGGATGGGCACAATAATACTATTGGGAGCAACAAATATTCATAAAACGTTTAAAACTGACAAAGGCATGAACAGCATTCAAACTTTGCCATGATTTGCCCTTACATTTCTATCTTATCCTATGAGTTCAACTGTTTATTATAATAACCATTAATAATTCCTTTGTGATTATTTTTTATCCAATTTGCCTATCTACTGAGTTGGTTAAAAAGTTGAGAATGTGGGTGTGTTTAAATCTGAAAAACCTTGAGGGGTGGGGTGAGATATTCATCGATTAGATTCAAAGCATCATACGACGCGTTTCGATCCTTGCTTAAGGGATCATCATCAGGCATGTTCTGAATCAAAGAGCTACATAATATCATCGAAGACACCCTCAATTCGAATTCATGTTCATATAGAGGTCAATGAAGACAACCAGTATGAAGGATGACAATCGAAAGGAATAACATTCGATAATTGAATCATAGCTAAACCGTGAGGGTGCGAGTAGTAACTGCCATGACCGGTTTCGAACCTATTAAAGTTCGTTATCAAATGGCTTAAAACTTAAAAATGATTTGAAAAAACCTTATATTACCTGTGTATATATTCCCTCGACTGAAAGGAGGGTCATGTCGAAAAAAAGTGGTCAAAAAACGGAAATTCGTTTGTGTGTGTGTCTGTCGCAGATCAAAGGTCAAAGGTCAAAAAAACATTTTGTTCGAAATTGACCAAGAAGTCAGACAACATGGTTTGGGAGGGCTGTTGATGGTGGATGTTCGTTGGAGAAAGCATCAAGATTAACTGTGACAGCGAAGGCGACCGAAGGCCGTCTGAGCGCTCGCAGAGAACACTCCATGCGTGGTATACATTTATGGGTGTTGCAGTGGTTACAGGGAATCAATCTAGTCAATCAGTAGCGATGCAGGCTTTGAAAAGATTGAGATCAACCTCGATGGGGGATCAGAGTGAAAGGAAGGGTGAATGAGAAGATATAATCTATAGGCTGACGTGTCAAAGTGGCAATGAAGTCTATACATGAACGACTGAAATGGAGAATAAATATCAGATTAAAAGAAAATTAATCAAACTCCTATTGCAGAAATCAGATTCAGCAACGTCTTTGCGTTCAAAACTGCAACCGAAGCAACTGCGTTGTGCAGTGCAAAACCGGAAACATAAGGACCGCAAGTGTCGAAATTTTGAGCATGTTGCTTTTTCCACCCAGTACAATTTCTCCGTATGTCATGCTTTCGCCATAGATATTTCGTATTTGTCATCGGATACCCATGCTAATGGCATATACTGAAAATGCCTAAATACCTGCACCAGAACTGCTGCTCCAAAAAAAATGTCAACTATCGCTCAGAGAGCTCTTTAAGACCATTCTATATCACAGTCGCAGGTTGACGCATTTCCAATCGCTCAACAGTCGAAATGAGTAATATCTGTATATTCAGGAAAAACCCTGTCCTACACAACCACTGCCCAATATGCCGGCTACCATCTCACACAAATGCATGAGAAATAGCGCGGATCCTGACTCGTATGGAACCAAACGGTCACTCATCGCTTCTACCACACGACCTTACACAAAGACTACTGCATCCAAAAAATACTCTCAAGATAATTGAGAAAAACCAAAACTTCTTCGAATGTCAAAGTGAATGCAGTTCGATGAGACACAACCAGATTCCCACATACACACCATCAAAATTAAATCTTCATTCCTATCCACAGAGTAAAAACATCGATCCTCCCAGTTCCCCGCTACCCGATTTCATCAGCACAGCAGATTCTTATTCAACGTTGAAATGAAGCTTCTTTCACTTCACAAACTATGTAATAGCCAGAATCATGAGGCTCAATATCCAAACTACATTCCCCTTATATATAAAAACCTACCACTTCAATCCTTCCAATAAACAACAAAATTCCACTTTGCCATCAAATTCTCACCTCCCCTGCACATATACGCATGTCGACCAAATCTAACAACATACCCGTGAGCCTTTCTCTGTCTGACAACATAATTTCTGAGCATCACATCTTCTTTGTCACTGCGAAACACAATCTCTATTTCACGAAAAATTACGAACAATATCTACAACCGATCGTAAAAACGACTTCCCAGTTAAGATTCACACCCACAATCCATACATAGCCAGCTGTGCATATCTGCGACCATGGACGAGAACATTTCTTCGTGTGAGGATATCTGTGTAAAGGTGAAAATGTTGAATGCGATTTCGAATTAATTGCTCTATGTGATGGTATAATTTAGGATGAAGGATTTTAGGATATAGTAATAGATAGGATAAGAGAAAATTTCATTGTTGATATTCGCTACATTTTATGTATTTCTCATTTGGTTCGATCCGTACATACACTTTCGTGTGTGTATTTGGTTTTGGAATGTGAGTTAGATGGAGATGGATGATTAGTTGGAATGAATATATTTGTAAAGGTCAACATGCAACGTATAATAATGGTCGGTCTGATCGTGATGGTATTGGATGGAAGCACATGATCTGTGCACGTATCATAGTTTGTTATCACGATTGTGTAAGAGATTATGCGGGCATATGTGCTTTCAGTTGGACGTGTTGAAACTAATTTCACTCATTTACTATTTCGGTTTAGTGAAGCTGGTTGTTCTTCTCTCTGTTGGAAGTCGCTCGGCATTCGCGTTGAATCGTGCTCTCTGAAATTAAAAAGTGTAATACTGTTTTGGATAGATTCCATTCATTGTAGTATAAGTTTTCAAAGTTGAGAAATGATGTGATTGACGAAATTAGTGGAGATGAATTCGAGGTTTAGATAGAATGTACCATTTTTTCTAATTGATTTCCTTTTCGTTTTGATTTAGTATGGGTCCATATGTTTCGAAAGTCTCAAACTATGATACGCAAATTATCACATACAATTGGTGTGATGCGGCTAAATTGCTTAAACAGATAACAGTTGTGATCAATGAAAAAGTTCCAAATGGAGTTCATAAACTTGTGAGCATACTTGCTGTTCACAATACAGTTATGCTCATTAATATGCTACTGTTTTTACTAATGATTGTTGCTATCGTTATCTGGTGTTTATTTCAGCATTGTCGAAGTGCAGCTGTAGAGATAAGTGTCGTGGACGAATCATCGGCTTATTCGATCGATACTCCAGCATCGGCTAAAAAGTCTTCAGAAAAAAATGAAGATGGATATAAAGTCTAATATCCTCGGTGACATCGCGTGAAATGAAATTTTTCTCTTGTTTGTGCATGCATTTCAATAGATTCGTAGTTAGATTGTAGCTAGATGTACTGAGCATTGTTTCATTCCCTCGACCGAAAGGAGGGTCATGTCGAAAAAAGTGGTCCAAAAATCGAAATTCCTTTATGAGTATGTCTGTCGCAGGTTGCAGGTCAAAGGTCAAATTACATTTTTTTTGAAAATGTTCAAAACTTCATAAAACATGGTTTCGAAGCGTGTTTTGACACTGAAAGTTGGTTGAGAGGGTGAGGACATGTGAGATAGGGTCGATGTTAAACGTACGTTGAGCACTGAGGTCAACGGCCCATAAGAGAATTTCATTATGAGTGGAACACAAATTAGGTAAAGGTTTTTCATAACTCCAAATGTGCAAGGAAATGTATCATACATCGAAACTGAAAGATTCATTCGCAGAATGTAATGTAACTTGTATTTGTGATACACTGTAAAAAAAAGAGTATTTTCATGAACTCTTGCACTTAAATTTTTTTTACAACAACGCTTTAAGGATATCTCCTGTTGGAATAAACTGGAGAGAGGTTTATTGTTTAGTGGGTATATGAATACAAGGGTTCTTGAAAAACATAAGGGAAGAATAAGCCGTTTAATGGTTTATTTACCTACGTTTATGCCAAAAAACGGTTCTTTAATCTACACTTCTAAGTAGACAGTTCTATGGTAACTGAAAAACCGTTGATTATTCTACGAACATGACTAAATAGTTTCTTTGCAATACCGTTAGGGTTTGTTATTCTACGAACAAAGGTAGAGTTTCGAACGTTACCTTTAAATTGATGTTTTATACTACGTTTGCAGATGAAAGGTTTATGATTCTGCAACATAAGGTTGATTTACATACGTTTAGAAGAGAAGGATTGATTCTTCGACGACCAAACTTATGAACTGTATGATGAATCGAGAGAGGTTTTTTACTGAACGTCTTTAGGTTGTATTATCTTACGCACATACGACAACCATTGACCATCCTACGATAGCACCATAGATGATTACACACATCCAACAAAAAGGTTGATCATTCTACTATATCACCGTTTAGGTGGCATACGTCGAACAAAAGGATAGATTAATCTACGACATCACCGTTTATTATCATCCTAATATAAAAGGAGGGTTGATTATTCTACGACATCAACGTTTATGATCATTTATTTGCAAAAGAAGGGTTGATCATTCTACGGTGGCACCGTTTATAATCATCCGTCTCTAGACGAAGGGTAGAGTAGTCTACGATATTAGCGTTTATGATCACCCTAATGTAAAAGATGGGTTGATCATTCTACGATATTACCATAGATGATCATACATGTCCATACATGTCGAATGAAAGGGTTGATTATTCTACAGTAGCACCGTTTTATAATCATTCATCTGTAAATGAAGGGTTGATTATTCAAAACTTTAAGTAATTGAATATATATTAGAAATGCAAATTGAGCATCATAGAATGATAATCTATGTCTAGATCTAGATGTAGGTTATGATATAATGACAAGAATGATTAGATTTTTCAAGATCATATAAATAAAGTAGATCAGTGAAAGCTATTACTAAAATATTCCATGGTTATCGAAGAGTCCATGAAAACATTTTCTTTAGACCTCTAATAGAATATCGATAAGATATATCATATATATTTGTTATCCCATGTTTTGTTTTACAGAACAAATTGGATACGATATAATTAATGCGTTGTTAGGATCATTTTGATATCATAAACTGATAACTCGGTATGCTCTATCCCAGGTCGAACAATCCCATACTCGGATCCCACCGGATCCCATCGAATCCCATCGGATCCAATACTGAATTTTATCGGATCCTACAGGAATTCGACGGATCCGATGAAATCCTGGTGACGGAATCGCATTGGATTCCGACGGTCTCGGATCCGATCGGATCCCACGTCGGATCTCGTCGNNAGTGTAGGAATATATACCATTTCTACTAATACTAAGAGCATTATCATAACTAGAATTACTATAGTTATAACCGGGACAGTTACAACCAAGATAATGATTAATAACACCATAATAACCAAAAGCACGAAGATGCATTATAGTATAATCAGGATAATTAGCATTACAGTTAGGATTATTGCCACGACTACAGTGAGTGGTGTTGCAAGTAACAGTAGAATTTTTAGTATCAAGACGACTAGGGTCATAGCAGACACAATTCTGTGGCTGAACTGATTGAGCCTCACCCAAAGTTATATTAATGGCAAGCAGAAGTGAGGCCAGTAATATAATTGTAGAGAACATCTTGTATTGCATTATGATACTCGAGAGTGAATAAAAAACTTAAGAACTTTGATAAGTTGTACAACTATAGAAGTAACGGTATATATTCTGGTACTAATTCTTTTCTTTATTTCTTATCTTGTCTTATCTTTCTTTTAAAAGACTAGGCAAAATAAAATGTAGAAGTAAAAGTAGAAGCAAGTTTTGTGATAAAATTACCAACGACAGACGGCAACAGTGATACATCAGTGAAAAGTATTTGACGCAGAATATAGACGTACTTCGATTTCAAAAATGCTGATTGTTCATGGATCCAGAAGTATAAGAATGGGCGGATCTCATCGTATAACAATAACAATCTTAAGTAAACCCCCTCCCAAAATATCACCCTCAAGAGGCCTTCTGTTGCGGGGAGGGGTTTAGTTAGAAGCTGTGACGTTTTCAGCTCTTGAGCTGACAAGAACTAATTCGAAATCGTTAGTAGCTAACTCTTATTTCGTGAACAACGGCTATTCACTACCATTTTCCAGTTGCCAGAAATAGTAACTATGTTTTTCCAATGAGTAAGCAACTTGTCCACATAAAATATGATTCCTTCACACTATTTATTGAATTTCCTATCCGGAACGCATGGTCTAGATCGGAAACGCTTGTAGTTCGGAACAGTTAGTTGTACTTGACAAAGCCTAATATCGATCAATTGTAAGTAGTTTTTCATTCATTTGAAACAGTGTGACGGAATCACCCTCCACGGTGAACAGGCCGAAGTAGGACTCTTTTATATATTCATGAGCGTTTTCCATCAATCGTCGTTGTATAATATATTCAGCATATGATATTGGTGGCATACGAGATGAGAGCGCTTGTTCGGTAACTCGCGCAGTCTTTTATATTTTAAGTCTTCCTTATGAGAATAAACACCTATATTTCCCAACTATGAGATCATTTTTTTGTGTTTTCTATGTTTGGTTTCAAATTTTCGTGAATATTCTCGTTGTATATTCTTTAACCATCTCGGAACATTCAATTCGAATATCAGTTCTGTGAAATAATTGTCCACCCAGGTCGATCATTTCGGCGACTGGATCCGTTGAAATCTGAGTCGGTTCCGGTTCAGCTCTTCTCGATTCCAGCACAGTTTTCGCCGATTCCAGCAAGTTCCGGCAGGTTCCTTGCCACCGGATTCCGGCCGGAATTGCACAGGAAATATCCGATCAGTTCCTGACCATTTCCAGCTCGAAGTTTGCAGGAAACGGCTGGGAAATGACTAGAACCTACGTTTGAACTTCCGGCCGGAATCCGGCGGCAAGGAAATGGTCGGAAAACGAATCTAACCGGCCGGAACCGACCGTGCCATAATAACCTGGGCACATACGCGTACTTTGTCTTCTTATATAGAGAACTCCTCATAGTTTTTTTTGTTCTATTCTACAACGTTTTCACATTGTCCTATATTTTGGTTTTCTGTATCTTTTCGTGCTGTATATTGAAAGTCGGCATTAATTTTTGCGAAGACCTGTTTTTTTTAAAGATTTTCAAAGTGCTGGACAATATCTAATTATTTTTTTCTTCTTTGGGATCGTCGACATATTTCTTTTTGTTTTGTCGTTGATTACGTCGCGTATTTCTTGCTATATCTCTTCAAATTCTTTGTCGATCAGATTGAGCGAATTGAGTCTAACTTTTTGCTTCTATCTTATATTTGTACGGAATGTTTTGTGGACCGAGTTTTATTGTTTGTGCTGATTTGTAATGTTGTGTGAGCTTGATTTGAAGATTCACTCAAGATACTGTCGCTTGGCCAATCTTTACGTTCCAATCACCGATTCTCAGGATGATAGCTTTCTTTGAAATGTCGTGGAATATTTGTTGTAAACCCATGTAGAAGTCGTTGATTGTTGATTCTTCCGCTTCTGTAATCGGTGCGTAGACATGTATTACTGCTAAGTTCAATGGCTTTCCTTGGAGTTATTTTTCAAATATTATGCGTTTACTGAATTAATGATTTTCTTGTTTAATATTATAGGCACTCCATTTTTACTGATATTTTAGTTACCAGAATAATAAACGTCATAATTGCGTGACGTGAAATAACCAATTATATGCTGTCTGTTTGAGTTAGGCTATTACAAATATGTCTGTTTTAATTCGATCTGTTTCTGGTTTGACTATTTCGAGTTCGCCTTGATTTATTGTTCTTACACTTCATGTGCCAGTTTTTACTGTTCTTAAAAAAGCTTTAATCTTCCAGCTTGTATCTGTATTGTTCAGTGATTCGATTTCCTTTTGGTTTTGATTCAAAACCCAGGCAGACAAACTCCGATAAAAAAAGCATAAAAACGTATGAAAATATGCGCTTTTTCCGAAATTATTTTCCGCAGAATTCCAACGCGTTATTATGCGTTTTTTGCCAGAGCTTGTCTGCCTGAGTTGAAAGACTGTAGTGAAAAAAATTACAAAATGTGAAACTACATTTTGTGTATTTTCTAGTGCTATTCCTCGGAATATGACAACTTGATCAACATTATCCTAATCTGAGTAAATCTTTGAAACGTGGTACTCTGAACTCATGGTAGGAGCAATAAAAACCGAGTTTTTGGGAGACTATATTCAACATCGTTTGGCTCGATATGTCACACTTTCTGTAAAATATTTGATTTTCTGGTAAACCGTCTTTCAAATTCGATTGTCTACAAAATTATATAAAGATAACAGAATCTTACTGTTTTTTTTTTCTTTCTTCACGATGAAATACGAACACAAAACACAAAGAAACAAGAATAGAATATAATAAGAGAAAGTTTTGTTTTTTATTCGAATTTAAACTGTTTTAGAACAAAACATGGACATTCACAGTGAGTCCAACCAACTTGTAACTGAAACTAATAAACAATCGAAATGGTGGCATCATCGTCGAGTTAAGATCATCGGAATTTCTATTACAGTATTGGTAATTCTGGCGATTTCTCTAATTTTAATCCTAGAAGTTTTCATACGCTCAACGAAAAAACCGTACAGTACCACTACTACTACCACTCCACCATTCGGTAAGGTTTTGATTAAATTACAGTTGTTCTAACTGACTTGTTGTGTATTTTTTAATGAATTTCACTGAGTCTTCTCTTGAGATTCTATAAGATTTCGAGAAGGTTTCATTAATTCTAATGATTCTATTGAACTGAGTGAATACTTATGTGAGTTTACTGGTTCTAAGAGTATAGAATCAGCTGTTCTTTTCTATCCGTAAAATGCGCGGCTTCTGGTAATTTATGAAAAGTCAAAAACGTTTTATATTTATGAAAGTTCGAAAAATATCTTAGTAAAGATGCGAAAGAAGTGATACTCTATAGAATCGAAAATTTAGAATATGATCACGTTTACACACATGAGTGAACTAAACATTACTTGCATCAAAAATATACTAGAACATTTCTTCTGATGTAGTATGGCGCGTTACTGGAAGTATGAATACTCCACGGACGAAGCATACAGCAATTCTATTAAAGAACGAGAAAGTACTAGTTGCTGGTGGTTCAGACGGTCAATCTTGTTTGTTCAGTAGTGAGTTGTACGATCCAAAAACAGGCAACTGGACAAGCACTGGTAATATGAGTTCTAACCGATGTGAACATACAATGTCTACATTAATGAATGGAAAAATTTTTGTCGCTGGCGGCGACACAAGCACTGCTGAAATATATGATCCTTCATCGGGTATTTGGACTGCTACTGAATCTATGATGATATCGCGACTTGGTCACACAACATCGATATTAGCAGATGGAAAAATATTAGTTGCTGGTGGTGAAACGAACAGTGCTGAAATATATGATCCATTAACAGGAAATTGGACAACCATTAGTAGCATGCATAGTGAACGATATCAGCATATAGCTGTTGTATTAACTAATGGAAAGGTGTTAGTTGCTGGCGGTTCCAAAGTTTCTTACGAATGCATCATGGATAGCTGTGATTTGTATGATCCATCAACAAAAAGATGGACAACCACTGGTAAAATGAATCATCGACGAATGCAACATACAGCATTGCTGTTAACAAACGGAAAAGTACTTGTTAGTGGTGGGTTTGATGATATGCGAAAGTATCTAAAAAGCGCTGAATTGTACGACCCTTTAACAGAAACCTGGACAACTACTGGCAACATGAGTTTTCCGCGAGCTGGGCACACAGCATCCTTATTAAGAAATGGAAAAGTGTTAGTTTCTGGTGGATTGGCTAATAGTTTAATACGATATAGTACTGAGTTGTATGATGCAGCGACAAGAATCTGGACGGTTGCTAATAATATGAACCGCGTACGATATTTTCATACAGCAACCGAATTAGAAAATGGAGATGTGTTGGTTGCTGGTGGGTCTGAAGATGATAATAGTGCTGAACTGTATGTTTCGCCGGAGAAAACTTCAGCAACTACCAGTAAAATGAACAGTCTGGTGAATGGTCCCAAAGCATCAGTGACAGAAAAGGCACTCAATAAGGATGGACAGAATAATACTATTGGCAGCAATAAGTGTCTATAAAACGTTCGATTTTTGACAAAATTTGTTCTTACATTTCTATCTTATTCTACGAGTACAGTTGTTTACTTTAATAATCAGAGGGCATGGAAAATTCCGCTTTCCAGGAAAATGTGACAGAATTCCGAAACTGTAAATTTCTTGAAAATTCGAATTTTCCGCATCACCTTCTCGGCGACCGATAAAACTTGAGATTGAAAACGCGGCTTCAGCAGGAACGCTGGTGCCAGGTGTAGCTAGAAAGCGGCGTGACAAAGACGACAAGATCGGTAGTTCACGGGCATATGTCGACCAAAATTGTAAAACTGTTGAATCAGCATGCTTCAACTCTATGGATTTTGCAGCTAGAAGGCGGTAACGTCGAAATTCTTCAACAAGTGCCGCTCATTTGCTCTTCATGTTCATCGATTCATGTCCTACCGACTGTAAAAAAGCATTAATTGGTGTGCGTTTCGACGCTGTCTCGCATTCAGTGGTCGACTGTGTACTTGTTGAGATCGAATCGAAACTTTTGTCAGGATTTGCGCTGGACAATTTTTTTAGTTCTCTTTCAACCATGGCTCTTTCGCGATCCGGTAGTACAGCGAATCCCATGGGATCGAAATATCCGTAGATCTAACAGGAGATGGTCAGAGGGTTGTACAACGTAATCTTTAGTTAAGAAGTGAGACTTACTCGTAACATACCCATTTGTTCTTTTTCGTCGTCAATGTATTTTGCCATTTTGTCAAGAAGAGAACGTTTGAGTTGTTGTTCCAATTCAGTGTTACCTTAGGTATTATCGAGAAATAGTTTGAGACGATGAATGGCAAATAAACACAAACCAATCGTCGGATACTGTCGGCCACTTAAGAGCTTTGTGGCAAGATCAAATGGCGTAAGAGTTTGACTAACCTTTTTTAATAAATTGCAGTCGGATGAGGTTAGTTCGAGGCAATGCAGTTTCTTTGATTGAGCACCAGTTAAAACCAACGAGTGTTTTTCAACAAACAGTGCACAGATGACTGTTTTCAGAGCGAGAAAACTATTGATCATATGGAGAGTAGAATTCCATCTTGTACATACACATCAGCCCGAGGCGAACGTCGACTGCCAATCTTGTAGCATTCTTTTTCAAAGAACGCTGCTAACATGCTGGATCGTCTGATCATGGAAGCAAGTGTACGACATTTACGTAAAAGTACGCCTAGCGAGGTTCTACTTTGTGAGTGATAATTGTCTTTCGTAATGACATCGTCGGTCTATCCATCGTCGATTGGACCATACACATTAATATCTGTTTGTACATCTTCCTTGACTGTAAAGTAAAGTTCGGATGTGATAGAAAGAACGAAAAGAATGAAGGGAGAAGAAAAATGCGCATCTAACAACACGTGTTGGCGAGAATAATTTTATTTTTCTTTCTAGTCACAAGTCAGAATGTAAGAAGAAGAAATCTAACCTCCCTGCGTCTAACATTTCTCTGATTGAATAATGAAGTAAGAAAATTACCATTTCAGTTTCTTCATCGCTGTCATTTGCCGCCAAAGCATCCTCTTCGTCATTGAATATTTCTTTTGTATCTAAGTCGCCAACATCATCAGTCGGATTGATTGTTGTCGTATCATCGATTGCATCATTGATTTCTTTATTTTTGTCGTTCAACCAGAAGCCAAGTGCGTTAGTTACGATAAGGTGTAGACGTTGTCCTAAACACCATAGACGACCGACAGCTCCAAATGTATCGAATACTTTTGTCATATTTGAAGCACCGTCACAAGTGACGGTCGATACACGACCAAGAACATTTAAACGGTCGAGTTTTTTATAAATATAATTCATAATATTTTCTGAGAAATGACGTTCCTGGAAATGTGAAAAGTCAATGACGGTACTGTAGAGTTCAAATGAATTTGATAAATAATGACCAGTCATAACTAAGAAGGATTTTGAAGTGCGATTGGACCAGAAATCACAAGTGATTGACATATATTCTGCCTTTTGTAATTTTTCAATCAAATTAAAATGATGAACTTTGTTCATTTATTTTATCCGCCGACGGACTGTAGTTGAATGAGGTGGTGTGTATCCTACAAATATAGGAACCTGACTATTGATGATTATTAAAGTTATCGCTCACCAGGGATGGCGTATTCCAAAAACCGAGAAAAACCGAGTTTTCGAAAATCACTGAAACAGCGACCATCAACAATAATTGCGTTGATTAACAGCTGATGCAATTTATCACGTTCAGCTGCTGATAAATTGCCACACCGTTTATCATCGCATGGTACAAGTATAAGATCGATCTTTTTGTGCGCGTTGATTAGATGCTTTTGCAATGTACTAGTTGCTCCTCCCTTCGTTGAAATGCATTTTGGTGTCGGAAAGGGAGGACATAGATCACAGATAGCCCATGCAATATCGTTTGGATCTCGATGGGCATAATTCCAAACGTTTCACTTACTACGTAGTTGAGAATCCGTAGAAGTGCCAGCATCTGTGCTGAGTTCATTTGGTTGAACCAGTGATTCATCTGGATCATCTGTAATATCTTCATCCGTTTCATTGGAATCCATAGCAGTGCGTTTGCTTGTTGCTTTCTCGTGTATATTCGTGTAGTGATTTCGCTTCGAGTTCACCGTAACCGATCTTATGTATTGTATATACTATCAGGTAGAAAAACACATGCTTATACACCTCACCCTCAGTTTTTTCGTTCTTCGTCTGATACGTATTATCCGACAAGGCATTTGAATACACAGAGGAAAAGAAAAAAGTCTATACAAGTCCAAAGATCAGATTAACATAATACTAATAGCTCACATTTTGGATTGTCCTGGATTACTTTATTTTCACAACGAACATCATCGAATCTCCGTAAATCCAAATCTGTTCGAATTCGAATCTTTTGGAAATCCAATCGTCGAATTCAGATATTTACAAAATGCGGTTAGAATAGGGGTAGCACTTTAACTTTACTTTCAAAATTAAAGTGAAAGTAAAATACTTTAACTTTAAATCTAAAGTTAAAGGAAAAACTTCAAACTTTAAGCACTTTATAAAGTAAAGTTTAAGTTTAAGTGCCACCCCTATAAATTAATGAAATCTTGAATTATTTAATATTTATTATTTTAGCAAATGACACTATATAAGACTCCCATAATTGGAAGATTTTTGTGACTATATAATACGCGAAGGCTTTTTAGAAAATCTCGCCGGATCCTTTAATCTGAGGAGGCTCAATATGTGTCACCATGAGTCCTCGTTTTTGGACGCTCACGTTTTTCACTTGACAATGTCAATGTACATGTTTAAGTAGGTCATCCTGTGGGACACGAAATGTCTTTATATATTGCATATCATTTGATATTTTAAATTCAATTTAGTGTTTAAATGATGGTCATTGTATATTATTAGAAATGGATAGTTAAGTCAAAAGTCAAACGAATGAACTTTGACACGCATTATTGATTTCTTTTAAATCTTGTGATATACATAGGTTTATAAGCACTTCTGAAATGGCATAGTTTAAAAATGAAAACTTTTCATATGACGTTGTTATTTCATAGCTGATACATTTATGTTGACTGATTCAAATAATTTTCTTTAACGGGAACCATTAACTACGTGTCCACGTGGCATACAGTCAGTTAGTAAAATAATCGTCATAATCTTTCCCACAGATCTCTGACAAAGTTTCACAACACCGACTATTTGTTTATCTTGTCTTTTTATTTTCTTAATCTTTGTGAAATACAAGATATCCTTTATTCTATTGAATATAATTAACGCGCTAGAATATGATTTATATTTTTCTGGCTTTACAAACAAAAAATTATTATTGTCGAACGTGAATCAACGAACTTTGACGAAAAACGTAATTTCTTTACGTGATGTAAATTAATCAAAGCTTTAAACGTACTTTAGTGTTTTCAACGAAATCAGTTAACATGTTGAAATCCAAGAAATATCCTCCCACGAAAAAATTTTGGGATGAAAACCGCGGTTTTTCACGGTGCGAGAAACCGCGAACTGTAACGGCTTAGGAGCACCGCGAAAGTCAGACCTTGTATTAGGTTTTGTGACACCGCCGGAAACCGCGACCAAATCGACACCGCTTGATTTTGCGTTTATTGATTGCGCGGTTTAAAGCGGTCCTAATAAACCGAATAAAAGGTCTGACTTTCGCGGTTTCATGCACCGCTGCTGACCGCGGTTGGGTATAACGCAGCATGAGGCGGTCACCTGGAACCGCGGTATTCAACGTTCAAAACAAAAAAAACGATATTTCTCATATTTCCTTGCCGATATACCTGTACACCTCCTATACCTCTGCACTCATCTAGTGGTCTCTTAGTCTCCTACGAACCGTTCATATTACTTACCGCGGTCATCTTGTCTAAAACCGTTAACTCTATTTTTTCCTGTTCTCTAAGATAGATTAGAACACTTACCATGGATTCACAAGCCGTGTATGTTCCAGTTGAACCATCCGGAAGCATCAGTATAAAGTTTGAAAGTGATAGTCTATCTAATTTGAACAGATTATTTTCCAATAAAAGTAAAAATAATAAAAAGAAAAACTATCTAATAATCATAAACAAGAGCGAATCTCAAATTTTGTACGTGGAAACCATCTTGCTGATAGTCAATCTCTATGAACATGTAATTTTCAATGCTTTTTGTTATGAAATAAAATAACTCCACTTTTGTTTCAAATTAACTTGAATAGAAATAATGAATTAAAATAATTATTTTTAAAAAATCAATTTTATTTGAAAGAAATTCAATCTTTACTTAACTGACATACGTAGGTTATATTGCTTCAAAAACTAACGCCATCTTTTCGCTATCAAAAATGGCGGTGGACGGATATATCTAACGGCTTTTGCAAATTGTTCAGACGTTGGATAAAGACATATATCACGGATAGAAGCAAAGCTGTTCAGCAGATTCTTTGGTCTAACCGTTTATTTATTTATTTTTACTTCGATCTGATACCAATATAAAGCGGAATCGATCACACGATACAATTCTATACAGTTCGTTTACAACCTTTACTAGACAAAAACGGTAGATCGACGCTTTGCAGTATCTTCGAGCATGGAAGTCATGCTGTTTGCATCCACATATGGATCGATCAACTTCGGATAATGTAATAATATCGGTTCTGCTTGCTTCATTTCAGATTTAACTCATATGGCGTCAGCTTTGTTGAAAAACTCGCTCCAACGTACTGATAGCACAGGACAACTGAATGTGTTTATCTTATTGAAGAAGAAGGTAAATAATGAACTATTGATTGTTTCACGAGAAGATTTGTCACCAACGCTTCGAAATGGGCGATTAATATTAAACCAAAAAATAATTATTCGAGATGAACAACGGAACAACATCGAAGGTGTCATTGTTTACATGCGTATGTATTGAAAAGAGTTGTTTTCTTATACAGAACATTCATGCACTTTTCTTGAAACAACAGATGTAGATCGTGACTGTTGTGCCAATGCTCGAAAAGAAATGATGGATACCATGACGAAACAAACACAGAAATCCAGCGGAAATTCTGGATCCTCACGTTCGACAACGCCATTAACATCGCAAACGGTTGTTCGATCGACGCCGTTACAGAAATTTTCAAAGAAGCCATCATTACCACGAGTTGAATCAGTACGAAAAACAACAATGCTTACATCTACAACTGGAAATAAACATCTGATTGAATCTCATAACAAATTNGTAAAAGTTGGATTTTATGCATTTTTCAGTGTCATTTTTCGGGGTACCTCAACTCGATCCATATTATCTCATACTAAGTAAATCTTTGAAGCGTGATATTTTAGGCTTGTGGTTGGCGTGATAAAGACCAACTTTCTGGGAGGCTAGATCCAAAATCGACTGGCCCAATACTTCGTGCTCTCTGTAAAATCTTTGATTTTATGCTAGACTGTCTCTTAAATTCGTTTGTCAACAAACTCATATCGACATGTTTACCACTGAAGATAGCAGCATATTTCTGTTTTTTTCTTTCTTCACAATACTATGTAAACACAAAGCACAAAGAAACAAAGATAGAGCATACTTAAAGAAAATTTTGTTTATTCTTGAATTTAAAGTGTTTTAGAATAATACATGGACATACACAGCGAGTCGAACCAACTTGTAACTGAAACTAACAAACAATCCAAATGGTGGCATCATCGTCGAGCTAAGATCGTCGGAATTTCTTTTACAGTATTGGTAATTCTATCAATTTCTCTAATTTTAATCCTAGAATTTTCCATACGCTCAACACAAAAGCCATACAGCACCACTACGACTACCGCTCAGACATCCGGTAAGGTTTGGACTAAACTACCGTCTGTTCAAAAAGAGATGGTTGTAGATATTTATACAATAGCTTAGGAATGAAAAGAGGTAGCGATCTGCGATTTTCGTCCATGAGGTACTTCAGAAAAAAGCGATCACTATCTGTAGACATAGTGAGAGACTAGGAATCTAATAAAACAACAATTTTTACGACGGATACGGATAAAGACATTATATCTCATACGAGATCAGTATTAGATGAGAAACTAAGCGAAGTATCGTCACTCAGTTTACTACCTCAATTAACCCGTGTAGTACCAGAATCGTTTCTTCTAGCTGATGCAACTTCAAATGCACTCCACAAACTGGTTTATATATTAACATTCGTCCCATGTATAAATTGTCCTTTCAATCTTAAAACCATACTTCATCCTTTTCAACATTCAGAACTGTCTAAGACGCCCTGTGTTGATTAACCCTTTTCATCTACATTCTCTTCACACTCATCATCATCCTAAACCACCATTTAG